GATATACCATATTTTTACGCTATTTGAGAACGAATGGTGGCCATTTTGTCTGTCAATTTTGGGCCGATTTTCACGAAATTCGAACTCAGCCGTCCTTAGGGTGTAACGGTGATATAATACTACGTTTTTTTAAATCGGATAAAAATTATTACCTCAATAGGGTCCACAAGCTAAAAACGCGATTTTTCGTACAATCAGGGGCCATAATTCAGGAAGTTACGGTCCAATATGTGCGAATATCGAAAGGAACCAAGATCTGTGGGTTATAAACATACATTTCAAGTTTCAACAAAATCGGATAAAAATTGTGACCTCTATAGGGTCCACAACCTTGATATACCATATTTTTACGCTATTTGAGAACGAACGGCGGCTATTTTGTCTGTCAATTTTGGGCCGATTTTCACGAAATTCGATCTCAGCCATCCTTAGGGTGTAACGGAGATTCAACAAAATCGGATAAAAATTGTGACCTCTATAGTGTCCACAAGCTAAAAACGTGATTTTTCGTACAAACAGGGGCCATAATCCATGAAGTTTCGATCCAATACATGCCAATATCGAAAGGAACCGAGATCTTTTCGAGATAAACCTATATTTCAAGTTTCGTCAAAATCAGATAAGAATTGTGACCTGTAGAGTGTCCACAAACAAATTGTGGACGGACGGACGTCCAGGGGCGACGACAATATACGTCCACATGAAAATGTGGGCGTATAAAAAATAAATACATGTTAACGTATTGTAAAATGATCAATCAAAGTAAAAATTCCCGTAAAATATTATTGTTTATATCGCGTGTGTCTAGTTAATCAAGGTGCGCCCGATTGAACAAAAATAGTAATATGCGATAAAAAGCAGACGAAATTGTTTTCTAACGAAGATTTCTAATGTAACAAAAAAATAACAATTAAAATGAATGGGGCTTCGGAAGTCACTGTCAAGAATTGGCTTCAGACATAAGACCTAACTAAATGTCTACATCACATTCACAAACTGTCACAAGTACTTGTGGCAGTGCTAAAAAATCTAATAGTCAGAATGGAATCTAATCATATTTGTTATGAATTAAAGTAATTTCTTGTTATTTAGGTGTTTTACGTTGAAACTGGACTTTTTGATTAGCAGTGCTGCTAATCAACTGTGAAAAATTACCGACAGCCCTGCAGGCAACGAAACATACGCCCACAGAAGCTAAGTCGTCCGAGCAGTCAACAAGAGTTGTCACATATTTTTTCTATTGTCGGTAATGAAACATTTATAATACACTAAAATCTGATTAAGAGTAACAACTTATTAAACATGCATTATGCAAGAGCAAAATCTGCTTATTACAAGTCTTTCTTTAGGCCTGAAATGTTATCTAAATTATCAATTAGACATTAGGGTGTTTCACTTTTCACTTTTTTTGGAATTTCTAAGGTTTCTACCCGTCACTGAAATCCACTTGGGGTCAAACTTACATCGTAATATTTTCAGAATTTTCTTGCTGAAAATGGCTGCCGGCGGCCATTTTTTCCAAAATTGCGACTATTTTCTGACGTTTTGAGCTTGACAGATCACTTAGAAAGGTCAGGTATGGCTTGTAATGTATCTATTTTATGCTTTTTAGGTATGCAGAGTCCATTCCCACTATCTTAAATGAGATAGTCAGAATCCAAGATGGTGGAAATCCAAGATGGTGCCCCAAATTCCCTATTTTCGTGACATGGAAAAGCATTTTTCAAAGACTATGTCATTCTGAACATCATTTTGGCCCTGATAATAAATTTTGCACTCATAAAATTCATTATCAGGGCCAAAATGATGTTCAGAATGACACTGATCCACCTTTGGTTGAAAATGGCGCAAGGTAATGACTGAAGGTGAAGTTCCGATGGAGTATATTCACAACACTATTAATCTGGCAGAACTATGACTGAACCTGGAAATTGTTTACAAAGTTTTTTTATGATTGATTTAAGTAGCCTAAGGTGTCCTCTTTCAGAATGTGCCGGGTGAACCTTGGTAACGCTTGAGCGTTTTGAGAAATTCAAAACGGCATCCAAGACGGCCGGCATTTCTCTAAATACACTAAAATCGTTCATTATGTTGTGGGGTGATTAGATGATAGTAAAATCCAAAATACCAGATAATATGGCCCTTTAACTCGTTAGCGGCGGTTGGGGGCGATTATTTCACCAAACCAAATGATATCTAGAGACAAACTATATTTCTGGACATAGGAGCATATGAGTAATATGATAACACCACATACATGCCTATCAGGAGCTCCAGGGCCACATGACAGACTCTGGAGCATGTTGGCCGGTTGTAATGTTCTCACTGTAGTAACGTTCACCCAGCAAAACAGTTCCGGATCAAGTTCCCTGCAAATGCATCATTCGTTGAGCAAGACTACATGGTTTGGGTGGGGGGGGGGATGCTGACCATACATTTCAGTTTTGGATGTCCAATTGTGCATACCCTCCAGCGTGTTTCGGACATCGATTTGCTAGAACTTTGTCCATAACCAGCTGACATGTACAGTGGCCTGTACAAGCACAGATTCTATTAGAGCGTCTGGAGAGAGAATACAATCAAGCTCTCACCACTTTCAAAGCTATTCCTTTCCCCACGACGTAACAGCAAGTAACTGTGTCACATCCAATAAGAGCATGAGCTGACAGGATTTCAATGGTACAGGACATGTTTCTCAGAAGTTGAACCAATGTCAACGGTTGTTCTTTCCTCGATTGGTGATTCCATTGTAAGAAGCTTGTTATAGACAGAGCTATTGCAAATCGCTGTCTGAAACACGTTGGAGGGTATAGGCATCCAAAACGGGAAATCTGTCGTCATCATCCCCACCTAAACCATGTAGTCTTGCTCCAAAGAATGATGCATGTGTAGGGAACGTAAAAACATGTCATCACCAAGCTATTGTGTGGCCTTGACTGGAAGATCGTAGTCCGCAGGAACTATATTGCTTGGTTAAGGACACTAAATTGAGAACATTACAACCGGTCAACGTGCTCCGGAGTCTGTTACGTGGTTCATCAGATGTGGATGCAAGAGTGACATGTAGTACGTGTGCTTGTAGCTACACTAGGGATGGCTTAGATTATACAGTATTTTGCAGGTTGCAGCCAGAAACATGACTAGACGATTAAACTGAATATTACCTAGTTATTTTCGTGTTTTACGGGTAGAATTTGTTGGGGTTTTTTAAATATTCAAAAAACAGCTTGTGCCCCCCCTTTCCAGGGCCCATCCATGTCGTCCTGGTGCTCCTGATAGGCATGTATGTAGTGTTATTGTATCACTCATTTGCTACTATATCAAGAAATATATAATTTGTCTCTAGATATAGTTTGGTTTGGTGAAATAATCGCCACAACATAATGAACGAGCTCAGTGTATTTAGTGAAATGCCGGCTGTCTTGGATGCCATCTTGAATTTCTCAGAATGCTCAAGGGTTACTGAGGTTCACCCGGCACATTCTGAAAGAGGACACCTTAGGCTACTAAAATCAATCATGAAAAAAAACTTTGTAAACAACTTCCAGGTTCAGTCATAGTTCTGCCAGATTAATAGTGTTGTGAATATACTCCATCGGAACTTCACCTTCAGTCATTACCTTGCGCCATTTTCAACCAAAGGTAGATCAGTGTCATTCTGAACATCATTTTGGCCCTGATAATGAATTTTATGAGTGCAAAATTTATTATCAGGGCCAAAATGATGTTCAGAATGACATAGTCTTTGAAAACTGCTTTTCCATGTCACGAAAATAGAAGATTTGGGGCACCATCTTGGATTTCCACCATCTTGGATTCTGACAATCTTATTTAAGATAGTGGAAATGGACTCTACATACCTGAAAAGCATAAAATAGACACATTACAAGCCATACCTGGCCTTTCTAAGTGATCTGTCAAGCTCAAAACGTCCGAAAATCCAGAAAATAGTCGCAATTTTGGAAAAAATGGCCGCCGGCAGCCATTTTCAGCAAGAAAATTCTAAAAATATTACGGTGTAAGTTTGACCCCGAGTGGACTTCGGTGACGGGTAGAAACCTTAGAAATTCCCAAAAAAGTGAAAAGTGAAACACCCTATTAGACATTAATTAACTTATCCAGACCATAATAAACTCTCGATGTCAAGGGTAGCCTTCGATGTAGGCTGGATTAGATTCCTATATGCCGCTAACGGCCAAAGATAATTAAATCAGAAAAAGTGGATAATCGAGACTATGCTGTTTATTTTAACTATTATAGCGAGAACTGCCATCTCTTTATCTTATCTCCCATAATGTATCTTTAAGTTATTATCAGAAAATCATTAGAATTTGTTTGGCTTTAAGTTCTGCCCCATGCTAACGTTAAATATACCAAGCATTTAATATCATGGATTTAGCTGTTCAAGTTATCAAAATTCATTGAAAATCAATATACTTGTTTGTCTCAAGACCTTAAACTCTGTTTATCAATCTAAAGTCAATCGAATGATAACTTTGGTCTCTAGAGCATCCACAATATTTTTCAAAGTGATCAATAGGCTTCTTCATCTCACTAATACCAACAACATATATCAATTTCAAAACAATCAGATAATAAATGTAGTCTGTAGAGTGTTCACAAGAAATTGTGGATGACGGACGATGGATGTACGGAGGTTCAATGAGAGCGTATAAAAATTGTGACCTGTAGAGTGTCCACAAACAAATTGTGGACGGACGACGACGATATACGTCCACATGAAAATGTGGGCATATAAAAACAATGCAAAAGGGTGACTCTGCACAGAATCTGACCTGAAGAGCGTTTACAAGGAATTGTGCATGGACTAGGATGACGACAATTCAAGTCCGCATTAAATATGGGCATACAAAAATAATATATTTGACATTGTTGAAGTGCATCATTTGTACGCTCATGTGATTTTGACTAGGCTCCCTAACATGAGGGCACATCATAAATGAATGCTAGTAATCAATGTTAATAAATCAAAACCTTACCATTTTTACCACAGTAGCTTCTATTAAAACCATAATTATTAATACTAAATATAGAATTTTCATCAGTACCATGCCATAGAATATCCTTTTCTACTGTTGGCCTTTGTAATTCTAGTTCCATTTGGCGTTTTTTAGAAACATACTGTTCATAAAGCGACCGGTTTTCTATTCTCTCAATCTGCAAAAAAATATATTAATGTCCTGCACAACTGTTGTAATAAGAAGAGGGTATATAATCACACATCAATTAACACTTAGTTAAAATCTTGCTTTAAAGATAGACAAGCAGTTTCCAACAACATACGCCAACATTTTGCAAGAGATGGACAGAGAACAAGCTAAAAAAAAAAAAAAAAAAGAAAAAAAAAAGCGATTTTTCGTACAATCAGGGGCCACAATCCACGACATTACGGTCTGATATGCGTGAATATCTACAGGAAACACAATCTTTGGGATATAAACATGTATTTTAAGTTTCATCAAAATCGGATAAAAATTGTGACCTCTAGAGGGTCCACAACCGTGGTATTACATACTTTTAAACTAGCCATTTTGTCTGGCAGTATCGTTCCGATTTTTATTGAATTCGAACTCAACCATCATTATGGTGTAACGGTGATATATTTAAACGGTTTTTAAAATTGAATAAACATTGTGACCTCTAGAGGGTCCACAAACTAAAAACGTGATTTTTTGTACAATCAAGGGCCATAATCCAGGAAATTACGGTATGGTATGCGTAAATAGCAAAAGGAACCAAGATCTTTGGGATATATACTCAGCCAAATTAAAAACTTGACACTAATGAATTTCACAAAAAAAATTTTTCTGGCAAGTCAAATAAATTTTAAAGTGTTTCTAACGATAGTAAGTAGTAAGAAGCCTTTAATTTCATAAAATTGTAAAGTCACGTGGATGAAAAACCTGAAAAACACGTGCAAACACAAACTCGTGAGGTCAATCGATGCAAGTTTGCTTAAACTGAACACGCACACGTAACTTGAACTGGAAAAACAAATTAAAATTGTTATTTTCATCTTTGTTAGAAAATGCCGCGCCTTTCAAATGTAGAACGTCTACGTGCTATAAATGTAGTATGTAGAGTGTTCACAAGAAATTGTGGACGACGGACGGACGGACGGACGGACAGACAATGGATGTACCAAGGTTCAATGAGGGCGTATAAAAATTGTGACCTGTAGAGTGTCCACAAACAAATTCTGGACGGACGACGACGATATACGTCCACATGAAAATGTGGGCATATAAAAACAATGCAAAAGGGTGACTCTGCACAGAATCTGACCTGAAGAGCGTTTACAAGGAATTGTGCATGGACTATAGATAGGCTCTATGCTGGTCAGTCTGTGGTCACTGTTGCAAGAGCCTTTAATTGTTCACGCCAGACAATAATTAATCTTAGAATGAGAGTGCTTCAAACTGGAACTATTGCCGACCGCCCAAGGGCGAGAGCGCCACGTGTGATGTCACTCCAGGAAGATCAAGCAATACGATTACGTCATCTTAGAAACAGATTTGTCACTGCTACCTCCACAAGTAGAGAGATGTTTGGTGGAAGGGTAACTGCACAAACTGTTCGAAATCGCTTGCAGGCTGCTGGTCTTCGAGCTCGGAGGCCCTATAATGGACCAATATTGACACCTCTTCATCGCCGTAACCGACTTGTGTGGGCCACAAGACACATAAGATTTACTCAAAGACAGTGGAATTCGGTTGTCTTTAGTGACGAATCTCGATTCACTTTGAGATTTGCCGATAGCAGGGCCCGAGTGTACCGCAGACGAGGTGAACGTTACGCTCAAGTATGCGTCAGAGAAGTTGACCGATTTGGTGGCGGCAGCGTCATGGTTTGGGGTTCTTTTTTGTGCACATGGACGTACTCCTCTTGTTGTTGTCCAAGGGAACTTAAATGCTGTCCAGTACAGGGATCAGATTTTGTAACCTGTTCTTCTTCCGTTTATGCAGAGACATGGGCCTGGACTAACGTTTCAACAAGACAATGCTCGACCCCATACAGCAATTGTTACCCAGAAATTTTTAAGAAATGCCGGTGTCCATGTCCTGGATTGGCCGTCGTTTAGCCCCGACCTTAATCCTATTGAACACATCTGGGACAAACTGGGTCGACGTGTTCGTCAGCAAGTGAATCCACCACTGACGTTGCAGGACCTTCAACATGCTCTTGCTGAGCAGTGGCGACATTTTCCTCGGGTAATGTTTACTAATGTTCTGAGATCCATGAGAAGACGTTGTGTGGCAGTACGAGACGCTAGAGGAGGCCACAACCGTTACTAAACACTTTATTCCGATTGTTCTCCAAGTCTGTGAATTTCATTTTGGGGGGTACTGTGACATCACGAACGTTATCAATGTCAAGGACTTTCGGCGAGACGTATTCTTGCTTTCTGTTGATGTCAAGGTCGTCTGTGCACAACATAACACTAAAATAGTTGCCTTAAACCAAATATTAAAAATCTAGTCCCAAAAATCCTGAGTGTCAAGTTTTTAATTTGGCTGAGTATACATGTAAACATATATTTGAAGTTTCATCAAAATCAGATCAAAAATGTGACCTCCATAGGGTCCACAACCGTGGTATTACATACTTTAACACTAGCCATTTTGTCTGGCAGTTTCCTTCCGATTTTTATGAAATTCGAACTAAACCATCATTATGGTGTAACTGTAATATTTAAACACTTTTTAAAATCAGATAAAAATTGTGACCTCTAGAGGGTCCACAAACTAAAAACGTGTTTTTGCGTACAAACAGGGGCCATAATCCATGAAGTTTCGATCTGATACATGCCAATATCGAAAGCAGCCGAGATCTTTTGGAGATACACCTATATTTCAAGTTTCGTTAAAATCGGATAAGAAAATCGGATTCGAACTCAGCCGTCCTTAGGGTGTAACGGTGATATAATAATACGTTTTTTTAAATCGGATAAAAATTATGACCTCTATAGGGTCTACAAGCTAAAAACGTGATTTTTCGTACAATCAGGGGCCAAAATTCAGGAAGTTACGGTCCGATATGCGCAAATATCGAAACGAACCGAGATCTTTGGGTTATAAACATACATTTCAAGTTTCAACAAAATCGGATAAAAATTGTGACCTCTATAGGGTCCACAACCTTGATATACCATTTTTTTACGCTATTTGAGAACGAACGGCGGCCATTTTGTCTGTCAATTTTGGGCCGATTTTCACGAAATTCGAACTCAGCCTTCCTTAGGGTGTAACGATGATATAATAAAACGTTTTTTTAAATCGGATAAAAATTATGACCTCTATAGTGTCTACAAGCTAAAAACGTGATTTTCGTACAATCAGGGGCCATAATTCAGGAAGTTACGGTCCGATATGCGCGAATATCGAAAGGAACCAAGATCTTTGGGTTATAAACATACATTTCAAATTTCAACAAAATCGGATAAAAATTGTGACCTCTATAGGGTCCACAACCTTGACATACGATATTTTTACGCTATTTGAGAACGAACGGCGGCCATTTTGTCTGTCAATTTTGGGCCGATTTTCACGAAATTCGAACTCAGCCGTCCTTAGGGTGTAACGGTGATATAATAATTCGTTTTTTAAATCGGATAAAAATTATGACCTCTATAGTGTCCACAAGCTAAAAACGTGATTTTTCGAACAATCATGGGCCATAATGCAGGAAGTTATGGTCCGATATGCGCAAATATTGAAAGGAGCCGTGATCTTTGGGTTGTAAACTTACATTTCAAGTTTGAACAAAATGGGATAAAAATTGTGACCTCTATAGGGTCCACAAGCTAAAAACTTGATTTTTCGTACAATCAGGGGCATTATTCAAAAATTTTCGATCGGATGCATGCCAGTATCGAAAGCAGCCGAGATCTTTTGAGGATAAACCTATATTTCAATTTTCGTCAAAATGGGATAAGAATTGTGACCTGTAGAAAGTCCACAAACAATTGTGGACGGACGGACAGGGGCGACGGCATAATACGTCCACATGAAAATGTGGGCGTATAAAAACTGTGACCTCTAGAGTGTCCCCAAGCTAAAAAGAGAGAGAGAGAGAGAGAGAGAGAAATGGGGTTTAACGTTGACTCGACACAAACTAGGTAATTTCGGGACTAACATATGGTTTATTTTTTAAAATTTTATTTCAATAATTCGCTTACTTGTAGGGGTCTTTAGCAGTGGGAGGATACCAGAGGACCCGGAGAAAACCCACGAGGTTGTCACGTAGAACCGGAGATTCGAAACCACACCAGTTGACTCAATGACTGGCCTAATAATACAGTGCGCACGTGCTCACCATTAGTCTGGTCGAGATAGAAAATTTGTGGGAAGAAATTCCTACCCAATTGATTTCTTCATTTTCTGAAACAACTATGTCCCTAGTGTTCCAGAAAACTTTTCCCCGCCGATCGGTGTTGAGCAAATTTTTTTACAGCATTTTGAAATTTTGACCCCCTGGGTCAACATAATGAAACTGAAAACCATTGATAACTTCAAAAATATCAATTTTACACCCTAGAAATGTATTATCAACATATAGGAAAGTGATACCAAGGATTCCAGAAATGATGTCAAAAGTAACGTATGACGTCACCGTGACGTCAGAATACAAAATGGCGGAACTATGACGTCACTGTGATGTCAAAATTCAAAATGGCGGAGACGTGTTGTGAATAAAGCAATAACAGCAAGCAAATAGACAAGAGGAACATTCTGGACACCATAAAATATTCATTTGGGTCATCATCAATAAAATCATCAAAATATTCTTCAGTTCTGATTTGTTCTGCCCCGTACCAAATTCATCTTCTAAATCGATGCTGATTTGTTGGCTATTCATACAACCCTCCCCATGGCATCCTCCACGCGCTTCAACACATTTCAAACCATTCTTTGTACAAGAACGTGACGAGCATTGGTTTTTCAACGATTTACATTTACACCGAATGAAATTCAGAACGTTTTCTGGTGCTGATGGAAGAACAGTCGCGATGGGAACGTGTCTATTCTCTATCACTTGCCAACCCCAATTCACAGGATCGACGCCATCGTCTAGTTCATCCCAAATTCTAACCTGAACATGGACGCGGTGAGCATGCTGCTCGGCCGCGGCAGCTGTTGGAGGAAGTATATTGATTTGAATGGAAATTTTTTTCAGCGATCATAGCTTTGTACCTTAGGTACCAGACTTTAGTCAGAGGTATCTCACTTTTGTTACTATACATTACACAGAATAACCTTTCTCCAGCTTCAGATACTTCGGACTGGGAACTTCCAGGTGAAGCTATTGTCTTGCTAGCTTCCCGAAAGATGGCACTGTTCGTATGTTTAAGAAGTCTCAATTTACAGAATCCGAAACAACCAGAAGTGGTATCACACCCAGACCAGGCGTGAATGAACAATAAATTGTCTAATACAGTTTTCAGTGTTGGCCAGAAACTGGCCTTGACTATAGATAACTGTGGTGTCCGATTTCCCTCGCCAATCGTCGTGGTCGACGGCTATGAACCAAACACGACGATTGGCGAGGGAAATCTTTTTACAAATGACCGATAGTTTTCTAAGATGATAGAGATATTCATCGTGTTCGACGGCTATGAACCAAATATTAAGGATCATGAGCACAGGCGCCAAGCTGCTACGTCTAAATGGTGGTGGGTGGTGTTCTTTTCTTAAATAGGTAGACAATATATATTCTGACTTTGCCCCTGTTATAAAACCTAACCTAACCATTTCACCTGTGTCAATAAATAATTCGATATATTCAACCAATCAAACAAACCTATATTTATTCAGCTAATCAACAAAAGATAAAACAATAATTCACACCCCGGGATTGCAAAATCCACGAAGATATACCTGAAACTTTTGTTGACTTATAAGATAACAGTTATATAGATAACTAAAATCCCAGTTAAAGAGAATCGTTTAATTTTGTTTTGTCACATTGTAGAAATAGCTTCCATATTTTATAATGCTTTCTTCAAAAATTAATTTCTAAATATAGAACTCGACGTACATGTGTAAAGTTTACACACGTTTTACTTTTTAGCTTTGATATGGCGTTCCATCACCTTTTGAAATCCTGAACTGCGTTGGATTAAGACATAGAGATATCCATGGTGGTATTGCCAAGTATCACCCATTAGCTGTACAATATTTCAATTAAAATGTAAAATTAAAAAAGTATATTAGCCCAACAATAAAATTATTGCCTTCCCGAATTTACAGTAATTTCTATTGATTTCATAGGGAAAGAGAAATTGGGTTTAACGTCCACTCGACACAAACTATGTTCAGTTCTATTTCAATAATTCGCTTGCGCGTAGGGGTCTTTTGTAGTGGGAGGAAACCGGAGGACCCGGAGAAAACCTACGAGGTTGGACAGGCGACCATACTCTTTGTCACGCACAACCGGGGAAACGAAACACCCCGCCAGTTGACTCAATGACAGACCGTATGATACAGCGCGCACGTGATAACCATTCGGCCATCCAATCCCCCCGATTTCATGATGAACCCCCTCTACTATAGAGTCCAATAATGACATTCTTTATTTTAACTATTTATATCTTCTATTATCTTTTAGATATTTTATTTACAAAACATCTTGTATTATCAATGTTTGATCATCTAATCTTATTTTTATCTGAAAGAACGAGTATATGCTTTCGGTAAGAAATATATTTTCCCGATATTCTGGATATGTTTTCCAAGCGATGGTTTAGCACAAAGCCGTATATATTTCTCTGGTGCCCGATTTCCCTCGCCAATCGTCGTGTTCGACGGCTATGAACCAAACACGACGATTGGCGAGGGAAATCTTTTTACAAATGACCGATAGTTTTCTAAGATGTTGGAGATATTCATCGTGTTCGACGGCTATGAACCAAATATTAAGGATCATGAGCACGAGCGCCGAGCTGCTACGTCTAAATATAGGAACAGTGACATTTCTCTGAAATCGGACACCACAGTTATCTATAGTCAAGGCCAGTTTCTGGCCAACACTGAAAACAAAATCCGTCTAATCAATCAGGTAGTCAACGATCTTGAATCCCATGGAGTCCCGACAAAATGGTACAATGGTGATGCAGATGTCACTATTACGAAGACGTGCATTGACTATGTAGAAATGGTCAACCTGTAATGACACAGATATTTTGGTCTCATTACTGCACCACGCGAAACCAGAAATGGCGACAATTCATCTTTGCCACTTGGACAAAAAGCGCAACACCTATGACATAAAATCAGTCTGCAGCGCAATGGATAAAACTGTATTAGACAATTTATTGTTCATTCACGCCTGGTCTGGGTGTGATACCACTTCTGGTTGTTTCGGATGCTGTGAATTGGGACTTCTTAAACATACAAACAGTGATATCTTTCAGGAAGCAAGCTAGACAATAGCTTCACCTGGAAGTTCCCAGTCCGAAGTATCTGAAGCTGGAGAAAGGTTATTCTGTGTAATGTATTGTCACAACTAAAGTCCGGTACCTAAGGTACAAAGCTATGATCGCTGAAAAAATTTCCATTCAAATCAATAGACTGCTGCCTCAGCCGAGCAGCATGCTCACCGCGTCCATGTTAAGGTTAGAATTTGGGATGAACTAGTCGCGATGGCGTCGACCTTGTGAATTGGGGTGGGCAAGTGATAGAGAATAGATACGTTCCCATCGCGACTGTTCTTCCATCAGCACCAGACAACGTTCTGAATTTCATTCGGTGTAAATGTAAATCGTTGAAAAACCAATGCTCGTCATGTTCTTGTACACAGAATGGTTTGAAATGTGTTGAAGCGCGTGGAGGATGCCATGGGGAGGGTTGTCTGAATAGCCAACAAATCAGCATTGATTTAGAAGATGAATTTGGTACGGGGCAGAACAAATCAGAACTGAAGAATATTTTGATGATTTTATTGATGATGATCCGAATGAATATTTTATGGTGTCCAGAATGTTCCTCTTGTCTATTTGCTTGCTGTTGTTGCTTTATTCACAACACGTCTCCGCCATTTTGAATTTTGACATCACAGTGACGTCATAGTTCCGCCATTTTGTATTCTGACGTCACGGTGACGTCTTACGTTATTTTTGACATCATTTCTGGAATCCTTGGTATCACTTTCCTATATGTTGATAATACATTTCTAGGGTGTAAAATTGATATTTTTGAAGTTATAAATGGTTGTCAGTTTCATTATGTTGACCCAGGGGGTCAAAATTTTAAAATGCTGTAAAAAATTTTGCTCAACTCTGATCGGCGGGGAAAATTTTTCTGGAACACTAGGGACATAGTTGTTTCAGAAAATGAAGAAATCATTTGGGTAGGAATTTCTTCCCACAAAGCTGGATTTGTCACCTTCTCCAACCAGCCTACATTAGGCCATCCAACCCTCCCCCCCCCAAGCTAAAAACATGATTTTTCATACAATCAGGGCCATAATACATGAAGTAAGGGTCTATACATGCCGATATCTAAAGGAACCGAGATCTTTGGGATATAAACCTATATTTCAAGTTTTGTCAAAATTGGAAAAAAAATTGTGGCCTGTATAGTGTCCACAGACAGACGGATAGACAGGAGTGACAACAATATACGTCCACATGAAAATGTATGCGTATAAAAACCATATTACAATTAGATCAAGGTTCTTGATTCTGATTTGTCAACAACCATTTTTCGATCGCAGTGTTTGGGAAGGTAGTTTATTGGCCACTGAAAGTATCTTGAAAGTGCATCAAGGTAAGCCAGAAATCTACTTTTTTTATTACCTTTTTCACAATTTGTCCGGAAGCTGCAAAGTTTTTCTGAACTATTAGATACTCTGAATCAGATGGTGCCAAAGTAACAACATTTAAGTTACTTTTGTCGTCAATCTGCCAATGTTTAGGAATTCCTAATTTGGCTTCTGAAAAAAATTCAGAGAAATATTTATTGCGATCATTTTTGTTTTATTCTTTAAAAACCAGATCTTCTAAAAAATAATAAGTATTGTTCTGTAATCATGGCAACTGCCACCTTTTATAGCTTTGTTATCCTGGATACAAGGAATATTGTCACAATTTTACTGTTTGTATTACGACAGCAAAAACAAGATTTCAGAGGGGATTTAGCTGGACTAGAAGGTCTCTAGAGGTTTTGCTCAGATATCCTGAAAAGGGTCAAAGGTTGAAAGTTAAAACACTACGAAAATCTTAATTGTGTCGCTCTCAGAATGGTTCCCGAACTACCTCACTTCGTTGGTCCAGAATAGCCACCCATCTAAGCAGCATTACTACCAAATATGTTAAAACCTATTAATCATTTTGGGAAAAGATGTTGTCATGTAGTACATGATATTGTTATATGTCTATAATTATTTTCTCTATCATTATAATCAATAATCAGTTCATTGTCGTTACTACAGTCATGTTTTGATTTGTCTGCTAGCATTGTGGCAGAGGTATGGCAACCAGCGGCATGGTGGAGATTTGTTCTGAAGTCCGTTACAAGTCTGTTTTTGTATGATTCTCTTGTATTACCATGTTTGTGATTGTTGTTTACAGTACACTGTAATAAATCATGTTATTCATTGTACATTGCTTAATTTGGGTTCAAACCCAAAACTCCACAAAAAGAGACCCATCACAAGTTTCACCTATATGCCATAAGATAGGAAAGCCCAAGAAAACATTTACCAGAAATATTTCACGAATTAGGCATTGCAATTTTAATAGCTTTGAGTAAACATTGTTTAATATGTTAATTATAACATCTTGATATTCTCCAGTCTACTGTGTATTAACAAAATAACTGAGTGAATATACATTATACAATAGACCAGCAGCCAAAATGCCACGGCTCCAAACTAGGCTATATTAGCTGAAATCTGTACCACCTAAAACTGATTGTAAATTGATCAGCAGCGCACCATGAATCATGAATGACCGCTGACCTACAGTTTCTGGGGTGGGATACCCCAGCAAACCTCTCTAGAATGGCACATGTAATCCCATGTATTTTCTACATGGGGGGGGGGGGGGGGAATCCTTCTGGGCAAACTTGTAGAAAACCAGGGAAAAGGTAATTTAATTGCAAAACTCTTAATATACCAATACATGTGAGGCTGATATCCCCCGCTGCAATCCCAAAATAAATAGATGACACATATTAATTAAACATGCATTATGCAAGAGCAAAATCTGCTTATTACAAGTCTTTCTTTAGGCCTGAAATGTTATCTAAATTATCAATTAGACATTAATTAACTTATCCAGACCATAATAAACTCTCGATGTCAAGGCTAGCCTTCGACGTTGGCTGGATTATATTCCTATATGCCGCTAACGACTATTGATAATTAAATCAATAAAAGTGGATAATCAAGACTATGCTGTTTATATTAATGATTATAGTAATGATGACCGAGACTATGCAAAAATTTCACCCGCTTCTTTCTAGGCTCAAAGTGGATCAATTTGACTGAAATTTTCAGCAAATTACCTTTACACTATCTAGTTTTTAACTATTATAGCAAGAACTGCCATCTCTTTATCTTATCTCCCATAATGTATCTTTAATTGCACATTTATATTTTTGAAAATTATCGAGCGAATAATCTTTACTTAATCTAAGCATAAAATATTCATGATCGAACTCTGTCAAGGTTTTGAAGTACCTGGTAGTGAAACTCTACACTAAGTTTTATCAATCTCCATAAGTTAAAATCAAAGTTTTCTTGTCCCAAAGCATCAAACAATCAAATTGCTTATCTCTGTTTAGCCTAAGCTGAAATGCTCATCTTCGAACTCCATCAAGGAATACACCTAATAAACATTCTATAGTTCAATTAGAAGGAGAGTTATTGTGTCCCAAAAAGTGTGACAGACACAAAGACACACGGACAAACAGACAGACAGGAGCGATGAGATACAATCTAATTAAAATATAGATCTATATTTCGTTTCGTTTTTTATACTTTCAATGGTCTACACTACATGTACATGTAGATCTAACAAGTTATAGTGGAAGTTCACGTTCTATGACGTCAGGTACCAAGCAAACGACATTTGACCCGATTACGTCGGTCATTCGATTAACCAATTAGCGACCACCATGTATTTTTTATCTACTTTTGCTTTGTTTTGATTTCTATTGCAGCTAATGTCTACCCACAGTTCCGCGCAAAAAAGGTCAAACGCTCGATTCAACAGACCATTTGATTGGCTGACCCCTCATTTCAAGCAGAACACGAGTTAAATAACAACGCTTCCAGATCTAAGTGTAGTAAAGACAAGTAAAATCAAAATTTTGAACTATAAAAACGAAACGAAATTGGATCTGTGTTTTAATCAGATTGGATGACATAATACATCCACATGAATATGTGGGCGTATAAAAATAAAGGCACTCGAAAATTATATTTATAATCTTGTTATAATCTACAATATTGTTAAAGTTATCAAGGGCAATTAGATATCGATGAAAATCAATTGGCTTCTTCGTCTCATAACCATAAACTCTGTGAATGAATTTAAAGTCAATTGGATGATAACTATATAGCCTCTATAGCGTTCGCCACTGTTCTCAAGGGGCATAACTCTGGCAGTTATTATCGGAAATCACTAAGAATCAATGAGAGAAAAAATAAGTTTTTGCTTCTCATAACCACAAACAAAGTGTAGAAATTTAAAATTGATTAGATGATATTAGTCTCAAGAGTTCCCACAAGATTTTTCAAAATGGTCAAGGACCATGGCAGTAATTATTGGAAATCGCTGAAAATCAAGACTTCTTCATCTCAAGATCTTAAACTTGGATGTTAACTTTGGTCTGTTCAGCTTCCACAAGATTTTACTTAGTGATCAAGGGTCATAACTATGGCAGTAAGTATGGGAAATCACTGAAAATCAACAAGACCCTTTGTCTCATGACCTTACTATGTATTGATTTAAAGTCAATCAGATGATAATTTTAGCTTCTACACCATCCACAAATCCCTGAAAATCACCAGGCTTATTCGTCTCACGACATAAACACAGTATAAATTTAAAGTGATCAAGTGCCATAACTCTGGCAGTAATTATCGGAAATCAATAGGTACTTGTGTCTCAAGACCATAAACAATGTGTATAGATTTAAAGTCAATTAGACGATAAAATAAGCCTCTAGAGTGCCCACAAGATTTTTCAAAATGATCAAGGACCATAACTCTGGCAGTAAGTATGGGAAACCCCTGATAGACTTCTTTCTCTCAAGACCTTAAACTCTGTTTATTAATCTTACACAGTGGTTATGAGTATGACATAAATATTTTGGCCTCACAAATATTATTACCTTTCATTTTATCTTGCCGTATTACTTTCCGATTTTGTTGTTCACCTTCTTCAGACACTTCCATATCATCAAAATTGATCACATTCTTATTTTGGTTGTAGACAAAACTAAATGTTTTTTTATTTAAATTGAAAGAATCTTCTATTTTCTTGTTAATGTGTGCTGGGTAAGGTCTTGCACCTTTAGTTTCTAGTCGACTCCACTGTATAACATCTTTTAATATGTCTGCATGTTTTACGTCTCGTTCTTCTTCTACGGCATTCAAAATTATTTCATTCACCTTATTGGCTACATCTGCAACATCTCTGGTGAGTCCCTCAATGATAATACGCTTTAATGTTTCATCAACAGATATCTTAACTCCACCTGATTCGTTCTTCAGTATCTTCCTTAACTGAAAAAATGTATCAATTTAATTGAAATAATTTTTAAATTTAAGTGAAATCATGTATCAATTTAACTGAAATGTTATATCAAATTAAGTGAAATGATGTATTAATCTAAATGACGGAAAATGTGAGTGTATTAAACAAATATCTCATTTTAATAAGATTGTTAAGGCATTAAAATGTTAAATATGGAAGATGCAAAGGCTAAATGATGCTGTTTATAACCAAACATCACATAATGCTGGGAAAAATTTTGAGGAACTTTCTTTGCCAACACAAGCATTGAATCCAGAAACACCTGGTTAACGAGCCAGCACCTAACTCATTGAGTCATAAGATAAATAAATCAGTCATTCAGTCACTATACACTTACATTATTTACTGATAATTTTACATTATAATCAATTCGTTGTTTATGAAAATCTTCTCTGTGTGTTTGATCTAGACTCATCATAGCCTGTCCTATTTGCTCTGCATCATCCGAATAGAAATACAGAATTTTTTCTCTAATTTCAGATTCTTTCTTGGGTGAAAAGTCATGATTCGTTTCAGAGTCCATATCAAAGCCATCCTCATCGTCAACATTTGAGCCAAAACCAAGCGAAGTAGACACATAACCTACAATCAAATCACATATGACATCTGTTTAAAGATAACTAACTTTTAAAACTAATAAGGTAAATGAAAACCAAAATAATAGAAAAAGAACATTCGAAATAACATTATTCAGAATATATATTTATACTACTATTTAATTTTGTCATACATCCTGAACTACATGTGTATTTCCACATTAAAATACATGTAAACAACATTATAACTATATGTACACAACATTTGATCAACAGTGGTTAAAGTTGCAATTTCATATTTTTAAGTTATATTTTTAAAATTTATTAAAATAAAGCCTTAAAATAGATGGTATCTATAAACAGTCCTACCTTGTTAAAGAATAATCCTATTAATCCTATAATTCACTATTGCCAGTTGAGAAATTGGCAAAAATATCATTTTCATCTTCAAATTCCAACGTTTGAAGATAACTACTCCATGGTGGAGAATAGAAAACAAGGGAGGTAATTGTGTTATCATTTCCTGTGTAAATGAGTTTTAAGTGTGAGAATAACACCTATGATCGTATAATAGTGAGTTGACAACCTATTGAGCAAAAGACATAGAAATAATTATGTTTTGACTTTCTAGAAAATATGAAATTGTAACTTTAAACAGTTCACTAAATATAGAAGAATGTAGGCTAGTAAGAAATATGATTTTTTTTCTTGAAAGTTGTACAGTTTGGTTAAACCTCTGTTGAATTTTGCGCTGTCAATACGCATGCAAACAAGCCAACATTGAGGCTGATGTCCCCCGCCGAAATCCCAAAAATAAATAGATGGCACATATTAATTAATAGCACATTTATTTTTTTTCAAAAGTATCAAGCAATCAAACTGATTTTCAACTATACACTAAGTTTCATCACTCTCTATCAGATAGGGGGGGTTGGATGGCTTAGTGGTTTGCACGTGCGCGCTGTATCATTTAAAGTCTGTCATTGAGTCAACTGGCATGGTTTCGAATCCCCGTTTGTATGTGACAAGGAGTAGGGTTGCCTGTCCAACCTCGTGGGTTTTCTCCGGGTCCTTCGGTTTTCTCCCACTGCTAAAACCACCTACGCGTAAGCGAATTATGGAAATAAAATTGAACCATATGTTAGTCCCGAAATGATCTAGTTTGTGTCGAGTGGACGTTAAACCCCATTTCTCTCTCTCTATCAGATAGAATCAATGCAATTGCTTAGGTCACCTAATGAACATCTACATCAAGTTCAAACATTCTACCTCAATTAAAAGCAGAATTGTTATGTTCCAAAGTCTTGACTAATCAAATTGCTTATCGCTCCTTAGTCCAAGCAGAATAATATAATGAATCTATACTCAGTGCTTCATCAACAAGTTTCATCACTGTCACTTATAATTAAAACTAAAGTTATCGTGCCCCAAAGCATCAACCAATCAGATTGCTTATCTCTGCTTACCCTAAGCAGAAAATTCTCATCTTCACCTAAAAAACACCTGCACCAAGTTTGAACTTTCTAACTCAATTAGAAGGAGAGCTATTGAGCTCCAAAGTCTCGGCCAATCAAATTGCTTATCGCTCTGCTTACCCTGAGCAGAAAATGCTCATTATCGAAGTTAGTCATGGTATTGATGTAATGAAACTATACACCAAGTGTCATCAATCTCACTTAATTAGAACTAAAGTTATCGTGTCCCAAAGCATCAATCAATCAAATTGCTTATCTCTGCTTACCCTAAGCAGAAAATGCCCATCTTCAAACTCCATCAAGGCATTGACCTAATAAACACCTACACCAAGTTTGAACTTTCTAACTCAATTAGAAGGAGAGCTATTGAGTTCCAAAGTCTCGGCCAATCAAATTGCTTATCGCTCTGCTTACCCTGAGCAGAAAATGCTCATTATCGAACTTAGTCATGGTATTGATGTAATGAAACTATACACCAAGTGTCATCACTCTCTCTTAATTAGAACTAAAGTTATCGTGTCCCAAAGCATCAACCAATCAAATTGCTTATCTCTGCTAACCCTAAGCAGAAAATGCTCATCTTCGAACTCCATCAAGGTACTGACCTAATAAACACCTACACCAAGTTTGAACATTCTAGCTCAATTAGAAAGAGAGTTATTGTGTCCCAAAAAGTGTGATGGACAGATGGACGAACCCATTTTAATAGTCCCCTCCTTTCTTCGAAAGGTGGGGGACAATAATAATAGCCCCACTTTAATGACTCACTTGTTATTTTATTCCATAATCCCTTTCCATTTTTCTGAATTGCACCTTGTATAGCACTGACAAAAGGATTAAACATAGATTCTTGGTAAATTACAACATGAACATTTTGGAGACATGTTAAATTAGTTGTATTATTTAAGGCTTTAACCAAGGCTTCAGCTATATCAGATGTTTTTGTTGAATAATTTCCTGAAATAATAAAGTATAGATAATCAAACTAAGCAACTGAACATACTGTGATTACCTTAAAGAATATAAATTATTGAGTTCTTATTGAGTTCATATTAATACTCAAAATGTAAGATGAGAGCATAAAATTAATTTAACCATTCATACCTGTTCCCAGTGCAGGAAATGCTATGGATGTTACATGTTTCTGATCAGCTTCTCTTAAACAGTTAGTGATGGCCTTCTTCCAGTTATAGTTAAATCTATCAGCATCAACATGTATCACATATTTACAATTCATCCCAGAAACTGGTGTAATAGCTATACCCTTTTCTTTCATTACATCACCTATTATTCAGGAAATAGCAGAGATCACATTTACCGGTAATATGATTAAAATATGATAATCTAAAAAATGTCTTATAGAGTAGTAACACTTTATAATAAGATTACTTACGGGCTTTATCACATTCCTGTAAGATTCTTTCTTTACCAGCTTTTAATATGGCCTGTGACACAGCGCCTGTTTATAGAAAGAAGAGTTTATTAATATTTTTTTTACTTGCTAGGGAAGGCACCTGTGGTTTTGGCATGGAAAGTTATAAATTCTTATAGGATTACTCCTTGTGTCGTGCATCATGTTCACACGCTACAAAATTAAAAATTTAAAGGAGCTAAATTACTATTCTTTGGCACCTAGAAATGGACGCAAATGGGTCGCAACACATATAATAATGTAATATGAATATAAATAAAATAATTTACATTCAATTGTTGTTTTTTTTTGCTGTAATTTCTAATTAGTTATGTGTTTAGTTTCGTTCATCGAGTCATCTTTTCACGGTAAAATAACAAAATCAATGTTGATTTAAATTGACCAATAAGTCTTGTTTACAATGTCAAAGACCGTGGATGATACTGAGTTAGCCACTTGCCTCCTTTAACCCGAAAGATAACTCTGTCAAATGCATTCCATCAAGTACTTTGTTTAAATGTCAGTGGGGGAAATACCAGTAACTACATGATTTGATACTGAAAACTGTGAACTGATATCTTAATTTGTTTTTCTTAAAGTAGCTAAGTCTCTAAAACACAAACTATTTGTCAATTTAAATCAACATTGATGTTGTGATCTTACCGTGAAAAGAGGGCTTCTGATATCCAATATTTAAGACAAAATAAACATTTTACTATTGCTACACGAATCGTGTACCATAATGCGTTTCAGCGCCATTTGTAACAAGGGACTCAAAGAACGAGGCTAGACATATTCCACGAGTCATGTCAAACAGTGACAACATATTGTTATCTGGAGAGCATGTTCAATAAATATTATTGGTGTAGACTAGAATAACAAGACTCTATTGGATTAAGACTCCCGTGTATTTCACCGAACATAACTGATTTGAAATTAGATCAAAAACGGAAACGATTGAATGTAATCAGTTTATATATATTCATATTACATTATTTTACGCATTGCGACCCCTTTGTGTCAATTTCTAGGTCCCAAATATTTGCGATTTAGCTCCTTTAATTAAATCTTAAACAAGCCAACAGTGAGGCTTATGTCCCCCGCTAAAATACCAAAATAAACAGAGAGATCACACATATTAATTAATTGCACATTAACTGCAAACTAATTATCTATGCTAAGTCTAAGCATAAAATGTTCACGATCAAACTCTGTCAGGTTTTGAAGTACTTGGTAGTGAAACTATACACTAAGTTTCATCACTCTCCATCAATTAGAATCAAAGTTATCTTGTCCCAAAGCATCGACCAAAGAAATTCCTTAGCTCTGCTTAGCTTCAGCGCAATATATTAATCATTGAACTCAGTCAAGACCTTCACATAATGAAAATCTATACTTCAATTAAAAGTTGTCATGTTCCAAAGTCTTGACAATCAAATTATTTGACGCTACTTAGCCTGAGCAGAAAATTTTCATCATCAAACTTAGTCAATGTATTGATATAAGGAATCTATACTCAAGAATTTCATCTCTCTCAATCAATTAGAACCAAAGTTATCGTGTTTTAAAGTCTCAACCAATCAAATTGCTTATCTCTGCTTCGCCTTAGTGGAAAATTTAGGAGAGTTATTGTGTTCCAAAGTCTCGACCAATCAGATTGAAATCTCTACTTTGCCAAAGCAGAAAATGCTCAGCATCGAACTTTGTTACGGTATTATTGTGCTAGTGTGGCATTTTGGTGTTTTAATTATATAATATGTTTTAGTCTACACTGCACTACACTGACAGTAGCTCATAAATAAACAATAACAAACTTTCACTTTCATCTGATCTTTGTACCCTTATTTTCATAGTCACTGGATCAGCTTCTGTACAGGTCTTTGTAATAACATCAGTGCCTATCATCTCATCATCTCCTTGGTTAACAAACCCAACTTCCTGGGTTAAATCAGTCTAACTTAGGATTTTGAATGTGTCAGATACAGAAGATTTATCTTCTAAATCTTAAAACTTGTATTTGTGTTCAAAGTTTTTTAAATTGTTACAGTTACTGAGGATAACCTGACTTCTGAGACGGTAATGTGTTCTCCGTGATTTTCATGTAACTCATGCTGCACATGCTGTTCACCGGGACCAGCCCTATAAAATGCACCCCATACCTGGTTGAATCATTCACACTACGTCAGCAGCATGCCACATCTCACGCCAGCTCAGAGGAACCAGGCGCTTGGAAGACTCGACGCTGGTCACACTGCCGAAGCTGTTGCCAATCACTTCCAGGTCAATGTTCGGACCATCTACAGGTTTCAGCAACGCTTTCGGGCCACCAACACCACGGATGATCGCCCCCGATCTGGTAGACCAAGGGTTACCACAAGGCAACAAGACCGCAATGTTGTGTGACAGCACGTGCAGAATCCCTCCACACAGGCATCTGAGACAGCACGTCAGACAGTGGGAACACACGGAAGACCCATCAGTACCGATACAGTGTGCCAACGTCACGCCAGAGAGAACATCCATTGCCTCACCCCTCTCCATCTATGTGAACGTTTACAGTTTGCCCAACAACATCAGAACTGGCAACAGGCAATGGAGAACTGTTTTGTTCAGATGAGTTGGTATTGCGTATCAACTGCAGATGGCAGGACCAGAATATGGCGTTGACATGGCCAGCGTTATTCTGACCAATGTGTCATGGAAAGAGACTCATAGGGAGGTCCAAGCATAATGGTTTGGGGTGGAATCGGCCAAAACCAGAGAGTGGGTCATACCACATTTAGCACGTCATCAAAATAATGTTTTCCAGCATGACAACGCCCCTGCCCACACCGTCAGAGATACTCTGGACTTTCTACAGAAGAACGGTTTCAACGTTATGCACTGGCAAGCCCTTAGGCCGGACTTAAACCCGATTGAACATCTTTGGGATGAAATTCAGACTTAAGAGGAGACTTAATAACGTCGCACCAAGACCAATCACAGCCGATGGATTGCGCCAGGCTTTTCTGATAGTGTGGTTCCAGGTGCCAATGGCGTTCCTCAATCATCTGGTCCACTCCATGTACAGACGCTGTACTGCTGTTATTGACACTCGCGGTTGACACACCAGATACTGATGTGTAGACTGTGTACAGATTCTAAACCTTCTCTCATAATGTTTTGGAATTGTGATGAATTAATCACTAATGTGTCAACATACTGTTCACAAAAAACTGATTTGGTCCATTTAGTAAGTCTTTTTTCTGGAAGAATTTGATTAAAGTGCCTCTCTGATTTTGAAATCATACTGACGTTTTTTTAGTATATTATTCTGTGGGGGTTTCGTATTTCATAAATCATTACAATAGTTAGAACTTACTGTTTATAATTTGTTCCACGCATAGTTATCTATTGATATTGCTTCATATTACGTCGAACTCGGATTGCATAGGTTATGCATGCGCATTTCCCAGTTGCATAGCGTATAAACGGGTATATAAGGTCAGTCACAGTCAGTCTTAGTCGAACGGTCGGGGGTGCGAACCTTACAGGAATAACCACTTATTCCACTTGAGGTAAGCATTCCAAGGGGAGGCTTTGTCTTTGGTGGCTTGATAAGTAATCACTTATTCTGCTCGAGACAAGCAAGATCTCTGGGGTAGAATTTCGTCTTTTGGTAGTGTGCGAGTCCTACAGGAGTAATTAATTATTCCGCTTAGGATGAGTATGGGCTACAGCTGGCGTTTCAAATTTAGGGAGAATGTTTGAGATGGGTTAAGTTTATAATTGTTTTGAGGGTTTCATTCAGGTGTTATAAGATTTGGTGCTTATACGCACTTCGCTTCTCTTTGCACAAATGTTGTTTTTCTGGCTGAGGAAGGCATAAATCATTGTGTTTATATTCTATTGTTGAGTTAAGAGTTTATAATCGATTTGCGGGTTTCGTTCGGGTGTTATAAGATTTGGTGCATGTGTGCACTCTGTTCCCTTGATACGAACCTTGATTTCATAAAGCGGGCATAGTTGGCATAGGGATAGTCGATGCAAACTTGGTGACAGTCCTTTATTTCAGCTGGTCCACTACTGGTTAGAATAAAACGAACCAACTCGGATGTGTCTCGGTCATTTTCTTTTGTATTAAACGAATTAAAAAATCTTTTACTTTAATCCACGCGAGAAGCCTGACATCCTGTATACGAACCCGGTTTGCCTAAGAGCCGGTCACTTCCGACGCTTGAGTGCAAATTGAGAACAACCCATTCTTTACATACACAGTAAAGTATATTTATATATATTCTACAGCTATTAAAGATACTTTCCCAGAAAAGTATTTATCAGGTGGTTATTGTGGTATTGGGATCTCTTAACCGGTCGTCACATTAAATATCTTCAAGTTGAAAAAAAAAAACATCTTGACAGTAAAGCCATTACTAAGTTAGGCCCTGTGACTCCGACAAACTGGAAAATCTACATTCTTCGGAACCCGAGAAAAAAATCTTCAATAAAGCTCAATCAGAAAATGCTTCAAAGTCACGAACATCAAAAATATACTGCCACACAACGTCTTCTCATGGATCTCAGAACATTAGTAAACACTACCCGAGGAAGACGTCGCCACTGCTCAGCAAGAGAATGTTGAAGGTCCTGCAACATCAGTGGTGGATTCACTTGCTGACGAACACGTCGACCCAGTTCGTCCCAGATGTGTTCAATAGGATTAAGGTCGGGGCTAAGCGACGGCCAATCCAGGACTTGGACACTGGCAATTCTTAAAAAATTCTGTGTAGCAACTGCTGTATGGGGTCGAGCATTGTCTTGTTGAAATGTTAGTGCAGGCCCATGTCTCTGCATAAACGGAAGAAGAACAGGTTGCAAAATCTGATCCCTGTACTGGACAGTATTTAAGTTCCCTTGGACAACAACAAGAGGAGAACGTCCATGTGCACAAAAAGAACCCAAACCATGACGCTGCCGCCACCAAATCGGTCAACTTCTCTGACACATACTTGAGGGTAAAGTTCACCTCGTCTGCGGTACACTCGGACCCTGCCATCGGCAAATCTCAAAGTAAATTGAGATTCGTCACTAAAGACAACCGAATTCCGCTGTCTTTGAGTTGATCTTATGTGTCTTGTGGCCCACACAAGTCGGTAACGGCGATGAAGAGGTGTCAATATTGGTCCATTATAGGGCCTCCGAGCTCGAAGACCAGCAGTCTGCAAGCGATTTCGAGCAGTTTGTGCAATTACCCTTCCACCAAACATTTCTCTACTTGTGGAGGTTGCAGTGACAAATCTGTTTCTAAGATGACGTAATCGTATTGCTTGATCTTCCTGGAGTGATCCACGTGACTTTACAATTTTATGAAATTAAAGGCTTCTTACTACTTACTATCGTTAGAAACACTTTAAAATTTATTTGACTTACCAGAAAAAAAAATTTGTTGAAATTCATCAGTGTCAAGTTTTTAATTTGGCTGAGTATATATGGAAAGTAGAAACATCCAATCTTACTAGAAAAATACTTGATTCCCTAAAAAAACACCCATGGAGTGCATACAGGACAAAAATGTAAGGGTTTCACTAACTGGCAACCCGACGATTAGTGATGTCTGCTCGAGTAACGTCAAAGGTAGCACGCGAAGATTGTCTATCTCCCAGCGTTAGTGAGCGCTTGATGTATATGTTGATAACCTTGATGGTACAACAGTTTCTGAGTTAAAAACCACAGTAAAAGACTTGGGCAGTGGATAATTCGAGAATTTCTTGGGCTTTGATATTTATAATAAATAGTCAGCAATTAAAGACAACATCATCTTGTATATGCAACAAATTCTCTTCTGGCTTCGCACCTGTGGCGGGGGACAAAAAATCAAAATACCAACTCTAGATAACCTCCTGGGTTGGATTCAATCGATTTAAAGAGAGAAGTGGGATTTAACGTCCACTCAATCAAATTTAAATTAGGCCTGTCAATTTTGTTCACCAACAACAAAATGGCAGCAGGCTTATTACATAGTAAACAGCATAGATCGATGAAATTCCGATTCAACATATCTTTGTAAATACTGAACGGAATTGAACCATTTTTGTACCGATATTCCCAATATTGTTGATTGCGAGGGAGTTCTATAAAAGAATTAAACGTAAAATAAAAGCTTACCTATTTTAAGGTTTAAATCCGAATTAGAACTGTTAACAATTATGGGAACATTAACATCTAATAAATCACCATTGGTTACAGTAAGTTTAAATTTACCAACTTTAATTCCTCTCCCTATGTCTTTTTCTGTTACAATATAAAAACTGTTATCTTCTGGTTGTCTTTCAGCACCTCTAGGATCACTTGTGGCTGTAATTATATACATTTCAGGATAATTTTTCCCTTTATATCATTCACATTAAATTGACAATAATGAAGAACCCGAAAAAAATGAAATGGGGTTTAATGTCTTACTGTCTGCACCAACTTGGCCAATGAAGGTGTGCATACAGCCGTGCTACATCTACTCTTATTTCAATTTCCAACCGTCAGGTGATCTTAAACGTGCTTTCAGTGGAGTCCAGTAACCTTACTATTTGATCAGACTCCCCACATAACATTAAATACAACAGCTGTAATAGTTTATAAATTAAACACAATAAATAACTATTTACACAAATTCACCTTTTAATTTTGGTTTGGTTTTTAAATGTTTGGTTTTTGAACCTGTATTATTGTCTTCATCTGTGAACTCCTACAAATCATACATAAAACGTTAGTGCATAATAAGAGTTCAGTTGGTGAGGCATTGCCTTAAGAAAAACAATACTTCGACATCATTTCTGTCAAATATTTCTGATTCTGTGGGAACATGGGCAGCTTTCATTATACATATATATTTGACACTGTATCTTGTTAATATTTTCTACAACAAATATAGATAATTACTTACCTTCACAGTGGCTGCATCACCAGGATAAACAATGATTTGTATATTATTAACGCTTAACTTTCCTCCCTGTGATTTATAATCATTGATAGTTTGGTAAAACACCCTAGCAACAAGATCACGAGGAAAACCCAAATTGCCTGTTCCAATAGCTGGAAATGCAATTGATTTGCAGCCACCCGCTTCTGCTTTCCTGAGACATTTCAAGATCAAGTTTTCTAAGTTCTGCAATTGTAAACATTTGGACAATGATTATATATCAGGAACCAATCAGTCATCACTTTTATATATCATAGTAAGAGAGAGACCATACACTTCATACTGTGAGTAAAATTTTCACCAAGTATTTTGAACATGGTAGCATCATCTTCACAATAACCTTAGACTCCCCATTTGCAATATACTCAACCTACTTCAGAGTAAGGTATTTCTTACAAGCATTGGTTAATTCTTGGAAACCCCTACAGATTTGTACAACATGTGACTAACAGTTAAAAACATGTTTATTTCAACGTTGTTTTAAGACAATTTTGTCAAATTTTGCATACACTCTTTCTTGAACAGGTCAAATTGAATCTTATACCAATCATGGAAGATTCGTCAAAATTTCAAATTTCAATAGGGTTCTATATTCTATCGCTTTCTTATCCCCCAATTAACAATCTCATATCCTCTGAGAACTCTGTCTTATATCGTATTCACAAGATTAATAAATATATAAACCGGAGAATAACTCTGCCATTTTGATTAGGTTCTTTCATCTGACCTGTAAAGTTTTCAAGTGATGATAATATACGTCCACATTAACTGGGGGTTTATAAAAAAAAAACTCTTAGAAAGTTTTTAAATATGCGGTTGTATAGAAACACAGCTACCTTTCCATCTGAACCCTTATTGTAGGAACTCAAACATGTATGATAAACTTTTTGACACCGCAGATTACCAGGTCCAGTTACAGCAATATCACCGACATTGATACCATTAGGGTATTTTTCCTTACATTCTGCTTGAAGATTTGGACCGGCTGCTTTATTAATGGAGCCAGAAACAGCTCCATTTTGTAACTCCAGTTTGTTGGAAGTAGAGTTAACAATTACATCCACCTTTAAATAAAGAAAAGTTATCCGGTGTAGAAAAATATTTCCAGAAGGAGCTTATAGTTCCTAACCTGAAGCTTTTCTTTAGCACATGTACCGGGTAATAATTATGTTAAATGTTAAAGCCCCATGTACTTTGTGGATGGGGATACAATTTATAAATAGACATAAATAAATTTGCCTATAGCTCCAACACATTTCAACTCCGTTCCGCCATGCAACATGAAATATTTTTGTCAAAACCATCTCAGTTATATGTAGTTAAAGGGGTTAAAAGTACATCTGCGATTAACTTGACCAAGTGTACTGTTTATTATTAAGGATCTATGTCAAGGCAATCAGTATTATGTAGGCCTACATTCTGACAATGTACCTTTGTTTCTACTGCTTTCATACTGTCATATGTTTTTGTAATTCTGTTAATTAAAAAATCATTCAATTTTCAATGAGGGTTGACATTTATCAAATTATAAATATTTTACCACTGCCTTGGCTATTTCTCCTTTTACAAGATTAGGCTTCCATCTAACTAATTCTTCATCATCTTGCTCTAAAATAACAAGTGGTTGCCAAGCAAGATACGCCCACATTTTGCAAGAGATGGACAGAGAACAAGCTTAAAATGTGATTTTTTGTACATCAGGGGCCATTAATTATAATACAGGATGTTACGGTTCGACATGCATCAATATCAAAAGGAACCAAGATCTTTGTAATACATGTATAAACATATATCTTAAGTTTCATCAAAATCGGATAAACATTGCGATCTCTAAAATTGTGACTGTTGGCAGTTCCAGTCCAATTTTCAGGAAATTTAAACTCAACTGCCATTATTGTGATAATGTAACGGTGAAATATTTAAACAGTGTCCACAAGCTAAAAATGTGATTTTTCGTACAATCAGGGGCCATAAATCATGAAGTTACGGTCCAATACATGCCAATATCGATAGGAACCAAGATCTTTGGGATACAAAACCTATATTTCAAGTTTTGTAAAGATAAGTTGCCAGGCATCGAAACATACGCCCACAGCTATATCGTCCGGGCAGTCAACAAGAGTTGTCGCATATTTTTACTTTTTTCAGTAATGAAACATTTATAATAGATTAAAATCTGATTAAGAGTAACAACTCATTAAGTAATTATCAGAAAACCATTAGAATTTGTTTGGTTTTTATAAAGTTCTGCCCCATGCTAACGTTTAGTATACGAAACTTTTAACATCATGGATTTAGCTGTTCAAGTCATAAAGATTCATTGAAAATCAATATACTTGTTCGTCTCAAGACCTTAAACTCTGTGTATCAATCTGAAGTCAATCGGATGATAACTTTAGCCTCTACAGTGTCACAAGATTTTTCAAAGTGATCCAGGGCCATAACTCTGGCAGCAATTATCCGAAATTGTTGAAAATCAATATGATTCTTCATCTCATGGCCTCAAACACTGTGTATAAATTTAAAGTCAATCGGATATTAACTTTAGCCTCTAGAGCGTCCACAAAATTTTTTGGAGTGATCAAGGGCCATAACTCAGGCATAATTATCGAAAATGGTTGCAATGACCTTAAACACTGTGTATAAATTTAAAGTCAATCGGATATTAACTTTGACCTCTAGAGCGTCCACAAGATTTTTTGAAGTGATCAAGGGCCATACCTCTGGCAGTAATTATCGGAAATCGCTGAAAATCAATAGGCTTCTTCGTCTCATGACCTTAAACACTGTGTATAAATTTAAAGTCAATCGGATATTAACTTTAGCCTCTAGAGCGTCCACAAGCAATTGTGGACGCCGGACGGCCGGACGGGGGCGACAACAATATACGACCACATTTCAATGTGGCCGTATAAAAATCAGATAAAAATTGTGACCTGTAGAGTGTCTACAACAAAATTGAAGGGACGCAGAGATACACGGACAATGGCATAATACGTCCACATGAAAATGTGAACATATAGAAATAAAGAAGATTCATGGATAAAACCACTAGGAGAAGGTTTACCCTAAGAAGATTTCAAATCGTCTGCTATTTTGTTTAAACCCATAAAAAAAAAAGCTTTGCAAAATACAATGTATTTGACAGATTCCATTTTTTTCTTTCTCTAAAATCAATCTAAACAATTAGTGGCTCGTATAAGGTCAACAGGGAAGATTAGTGTAAAATGTTCTAGATCAAAAAGATTCTTTACTAACCAAAGCTTTCACCATAGTTAAAAGCTGGTTCCCGTCTATGAGGTATAGATTCCTGTGGTACACCTGCAGAATTTAACTGGATAATGGATGGTACACTTTTTAAAGCTTCAATAAAAAATTTGAGGGAGGTTTTCTGTACATCTATTAAATAAATCAATTTGATAGGTGATTGAGGAACTCTTTCAAAATGATATACTATCGCTTTAACAATCACTTCTGTTGCATTTTGCACTGGATAACCAAATATCCCTGTAGATATTGCTGGTAGAGCTACTGAGGAATAACCATGAGTCATGATTAACTCCAAAGTACGTAAAATTGTTGTGGATAATATTTTACTTTCCTTTGAATGTCCTCCTGCCCATCTTGGTCCAACAGCATGAACAATCTTTTTACACTTGAGCTGCCCTGATCCAGACATCACACAATCCCCATCATATACCTGGCCATTTTCTTGAATATGTGCATTACAATCATCTTGTATAACCTGTCCGCCTAGATTTAAAAAAGTAAAAGCATGACTTGTTGGCTTGATCAACCATTAAAACTAATTTTATAAAAACATGTTAGCCAATTATCAGTGCTACAAGTGTAGCAGTGTACAGTGCTATATTTTCATTTGCTTTCAATTGAGTAAGTTTGACATTACTTTAAATCTATTTTCCCCACCTTGGAGAGATCTTTGAATATTGCCAGTTTTAAACTGATCCAAATGTTTTGGACAGAAAAAAAATGTGATGCTTCAAAAGGAGTGATTCCTACCCTTACTTACAGTGATTATGGAAATTAAATTACTGCACCAATTCACCTGTGTTTTATTTCCTGTGATTATGTAGATTTATATACTGGTTCACGTTTTATTTCCCATATATGTGATGTGAATAATTAGATCTTTTCAAAAACAGACGTACTTTTCACACTCTAGTTTAATTTTTTGATATTTTTTTACAGTTTTTAATACCATATTTAATTGATTATATTGATAACATATACTCTATTTTATCTGTGATTAGATTATGACATTTGCTGTTTATTCTAAAATTCATTCACAAGGCTCTATAAAGTGAGGAAAGGTCATAACACTGGAAGTAAGTAACAGAATAAGCTTCTCCTTTACACTAATATGAATTATACCTATAAATTTCAAGTAGTTCAGATGATTAATGTTAGAGCGTTCACAAGATAATACAAAGTGACCAAGAACCATAACTATAGATTGCTGCAATTTAAAGGGACAATAACACTCTTGCTAGCTTGACAGCTCCAGAAAATAAAAAAATAGCCTTATTCTAAGTACTAGATGTGTTAGGGTCTTACCTGTTGTGTAAATTATCCATTAAATCCTATGATACTTGTCCAGAGGGTTCAAAAATATTTTTAAATCCAAGTCACATTTAAAAAGGTTTACGTTAGGTTTTTCAAATCATTTAGTTAAATTTTTCCAATTTTTTAAATTAGGTGTGTTAAGATGAAATTTATATCATCAATTAATTGGAATATTGTAAAATAGTACAATTTGTTGATCAGAATAAAGATTGGGATATATTATTCAGTTACAACAAGAGTGGTATTGAGCCTTTAATGCCCTGCCTTGTCTTACAACATTGTACCGTCTACAACTGTCATAAATACTGTATCTTAATTCTTAACAGTGTTTTCATAGGGATCAAGGATCAAAACTCTAAAATTATTTAGGCCTACTAGAAACTGGTGAAGTTTGCTGGATGTCTTTACCTTATGATCATAAACACTGTGAATAAATGTCAATCAAATGATAACTTTAGCCTCTAGAGTTTACACATTTGCAAGCAATAGGACTGACACGGGTGAGCAGGGGGACAATATATACAACTACATTTAAATTTGGTGTATCAAAACTATCCATTAATTCACATTGTAATATTTAATAATGCAACAGCATAAGAACAAAAGGTTCTTAGGATCAAGCACTTTAAGACTTTTAAAGGTATAACCATAATCATGTAATGCTCATGAAATTGAATTGACATTAATTTTGAATCACAACCAGAGTAAACAGTTATTTACCAATATACTGATTGTCTGATTGTCACCTATATTATTTAAGTACAGCGAAACATAAATAATCCTACCTTTCTGCAGAATGTGACCAGCCAGGCCTCCTATATGTTGTAATCGATCATTAGCAGCATTGACTATAACATCTACATTTAAATCTGTTATATCACCCTTTACAACTAGAATTTGTGTATTCTTCAACTGGAAACTGGCACAGTTAAGACCGTTGGTAGTTTCTATAGTTTCTTCTTCTACTTCAATTGTACAGCGAAACATCCTTTCGATATTGCTCACAGTACTCTTGCCTTTTTCAGTATGAATAAATTTACAATAACTAGAGCTGTAAATATTTTTCTCTTTACAGATGATTTTAGAGTACAATTCTTTCAGGTGTTCTTGAGCTTTCATAATACCTTGCTTTGTTCCTTTAATAACAATTCCCTTTGCATCTTTCATTTGAACTGTAACTTTGCAAGATTCCAACTTTAATTCCAAATCCTGGACTTTCTGTTCATAATGTTTCTTGAAGAATCGATCTTTGGCAGATCCATACTGTATTATTTTTTGATAGGTTGTATTTTCCTCAAAAAACTGAGCAACTGAAGCTTCTACCATTTGCATGACTTCTGAGAAAGCAGTGATTTCTATTTCTTCAGCACTTATAGGGCAGATTTTCACCAGGTCAGGGTAAGTGTTTTTAATATCCTCATTTAAATCTTGCCATTTTGGCTGAGTTAAAAGACTGACAGATTCTTTATCTACTGGTAAATGTTTACAGCAAACAACATCATTAAGAATAGATTCAGCCAAGTTCAAGCTCTTTTTATCTTTAGCAAAGACATCAATTGATTCTCTTTCCTCATCCTTTACCCATACTGCAATGCTTTTGTCACCTTGGAACTTTTCTTTTATAATAAAATCATGAACATCTTTGGTGAACAAAATTTTAATCTGTGTTTTAGAAAATTTTCTCAGTTGAGAAATTTTAAAATTCTGAAGTAATTCATAAATTGTGACTTTAGCTGCAGTGATATCAGAAATTACACCTTTTAATTCAATCTCTAAATCAGAAGTCTTTTCTAATATTTGCAGATGTTGATATTTTTCTCGAACAATGTCAAGAAAACCTAAACTTTCAAGTACTGAATAGGGATATTTCAGTTTCATGGTTTCATTGACTTCTTGTTTTTTTCTTTCAAAATCTTCTTCAATCCTTTGCTTTATTTGCTGAACAAAGGATTCCATTTCCTGGTACTGTGGAGCATCACATCCAACAATTATGATAGATGAGCTTGAATCACTGCCTTTAAAGATATTGATATCATCCTTGTTCGAAATAGTGATTTCTTTCCAAATTAACTCTGAAACCTAAAATTATTGAAATTTCATTCACAAACTATACACCAAGTTTCATCACTCTCACTTAATTAGAACTAAAGTTATTGTGTCCCAAAGCATCAACCAGTCTAATTGCTTATCTCTGCTTACCCTACGCAGAAAATGCTTATCTTCGAACTCCATCAAGGCATTGACCTAATAAACACCTACACCAACTTTGAACATTCTAACTCAATTAGAAGGTGAGTTATTGTGTTCCAAAGTCTCGGCCAATCAAATTGCTTATCGCTTTGCTTACCCTGAGCAGAAAATGCTCATTATCGAACTTAGTCAAGGTATTGATGTAATGAAACTATACACCTAGTTTCATCACTGTCACTTAATTAGAACTTAGTTATCGTGTCCCAAAGCATCAACCAATCAAATTGCTTATCTCTGCTTACCCTAAGCAGAAAATGCTCATCGTCGAACTCTATCAAGGCATTGACCTAATAAACACCTACACCAAGTTTGAACATTCTAGCTCAATTATAAAGAGTTATTGTGTCCCAAAAAGTGTGACGGACAGACAAACAGACAGACGGACGAACCCATTTTAATAGTCCCCTGCTTTCTTCGAAAAGCGGGGGGACAATAAATAGATGATACATATTAATTAATCGCACATTTATTTTTTCAAAAGTATCAAGGAATCAAACTATACACTAAGTTTCACCACTCTCTATTAGATAGAATCAAGATTATCTTGTCCCAAAGCATCGATCAAAGAAATTGCTTAGCTCTGCTTAGGTTTAGCTTGAAATGTTAATCATTGAACTCAGTCAAGACATTCACCTAATGAACATCTACATCAAGTTTAAACATTCTACATCAATTAAAAGCAGAGTTGTTATGTTCCAAAGTCTTGACCAATCAAATTATTTATTGTTCCTTAGCCTAAGCAGAAAATTCGCACCATCGAACTTAGTGAAGGTAATGATATAATAAATCTATCTTCGGAGTTTCATCGCTCTCACTTCATTATAACCAATATTATCCTGCCCAAAAGCATTAACCAATCAGATTGCCTATCTCTGCTTACCATAAGCAGACAATGGTCATGATCAAACTCCATCAAGGCATTCACCTAATGAATGCCTACACCAAGTTTGAACATTCTACCTCAATTAGAAGGAGAGTTATTGTGTTCCAAAGTCTCGACCAATGAAATTGCTTATCGCTCTGCTTACCCCCAGCAGAAAATGTTCATTATCAAACTTAGTCAAGGTATTGATGTAATAAAGCTATACACCAAGTGTCCTCACTCTCACTTAATTAGAACTAAAGTTATCATGTCCCAAAGCATCAACCAATTAAATTGCTTATCTCTGCTTACCCCAAGCAGAAAACTCTAATCTTTGAACTCCATCAAGGCATTCACCTAATAGACACCTACGCCAAGTGTGAACATTTTAACTCAATTAGAATGAGAGTTATTGTGTTACAAAGCCTCAACCAATCAAATTGCTTATCGCTCTGCTTACCCTGAGTAGAACATGCTCATTATCAACTTAGTCATGGTATTGATGTAGTGAAACTATACACCAAGTTTCATCACTCTCACTTAATTAGAACTAAAGTTATCGTGTCCCAAAGCATCAACAAATCAAATTGCTTATCTCTGCTTACCCTACGCAGAAAATGCCCATCTTCGAACTCCATCAAGGCATTGACCTAATAAACACCTAAACCAAGTCTGAACATTCTAACTCAATTAGAAGGAGAGTTTTTGTGTTCCAAAGTCTAGGCCAATCAAATTGCTTATCGCTCTGCTTACCCTGAGCAGAAAATGGTCATTATCAAACTTAGTCAAGGTATTGATGTAATGAAACTATACACCAAGTTTCATCACTGTCACTTAATTAGAACTAAAGTTATCGTGCGATTTTAATAGTCCCCTGATTTCTTCGAAGGGCGGGGGACAAGAAAAAAACAAGTGGCTGACCTTGACAGTGACAGAACAGAATTGGAATGGCCCAATTTAACCCCATTATATTGATGTGGGACTAGCGGAATTAAATCGCTGGAAAGGATAAAATGGAACCCAAAATTATTTTCTTTCAAGGTTTGCCCGCTAAAGCAGTTTCATTTAAGAGGTATTAAAACAAATAATTAGGAAACAAATAAATTTTTATCGTAACTGAAATTCAATGCATAAATACAAATATAAATGGAGATTCCTTTTGGTGCTCTACTTCTACAAGACGCTGTGTCGTGATCGGGGAATTTTCCATACCATTCATTATATAACATAAAACACAAAAGCAAACGACAACGGCCAGCCAGAAACATGTCAAAATTAAAAGTTAGAAGTAAACAGTGAAACAAAAACACAACAAATATTTTATTTTATTATACATCTAGTATTCTATAAAGTAAGTCATACAAATTTGATTCAAGACACATTGACATTCAAGAGTCGGACACAAAAATTTTACGCTAATCCTTGTAGATTCGCAGCACAAGCTCTTGCAAGAATCCTTGTGCGAATTAGATTCAGAGATTTGCATGAATTTCTAGCCCTGCTAGGTCAAAAAGTCAATAATAATTTCCATGCAATGGTAGAACATTTAATAACAGTACAATGATTTGAAATATTCCCTCCCTCACCTAAAAACTTAAATGATCTGCACTGTCATAAAAACACACTTACCTCATTTAATAGTGTAAAGTCTCTTATCTTCAGACAGCCTAGATAATCTTCAAAATGTTTCTCACACATTTTTGCCCAGTTTTTGGTTAACTTCCTGGCATCTTTCATCTCTTTACTAACAGTACAAGACAGAAAAACATCTGATGTATCTTTACTCCATTCTATCAAAGTATTGTATTCTTTCATCTTTGACTGGAATTGCTGTTTATTGGTTTCAGACTCATAGATGAACATCATCTTATATTTGTCACATTCAGTTAAAGTGACTTTTACAGGTTTCTTAGGTAAAACAAAGATGTTAGGATTCTTTATACCACCAGATTTTCCTAAACACGGTTGATACACTGCAACTTCTATACCAATTCCACCTAACTCATGAGACTTCTTACAAACAGTTTCAAGATCTGAAGTAAAAATTTGATAATTTGCATAATATCAATCTATCTAGCTCAAAGTTTAGTCAAATAGTAGTTAGTATCTTTGTACCTGTGGATATATTGATACCAATGGCCTAAGGATAAACGAATTATACTTACCTTTTGGGTTTTGAAAATGCACCAAAGCAAATTCACTGTTTGAAGTCATTTCAACACGTTCCACATCTCCATAGCTTTCAAAATAATTAGTTAAATCTTCATCATCTGTTCCATCTGAAAACTTGCTGACTTTGGCTGTGTTACTTATAGCCACACCTTTAATCTTTAAGTGATTACCTTCTAGTGCCTCTCCTACTGATGGAAATTTCTTTAATATTTCTTTTACTATACAAAAAGTAGAAATTCAGAAGATAATTTTAAACATGTAGTCTATAATTAACATCATAGCCTTGCCAGTCATCTAATATGGCCCACCAGCAGTATTTTGTCAGGTGGCAAGAGTATATCAAAATATTTCCAAAACTGTGAAGGGCAATTAATCTGCAAAAATCAGATTACGAATTTCAGTTGGTTTCTTCTTTAAGACTTGCTGAACAATAACTTTCATGTAAAATTGAAGCACACCTTTGGATTTCAATAGGATTCCTCCTGACGACAAGTCAAATAATCCAAGCAAATTTGAAAAAAAGAAATCTTAAAACCGTCACCTGTAGAGTATTTAAAAGCCAACCTGTAACCCGAAATATGAATAGGCCACCCGTACAGGGAGGGTATGGGTGTGTACTATGTGTGGATTTCTTCCACCCATCTCCAAATCTGTAATGTTGATAAATTTGATTTTCCTATACATAATTTGTAGGTAATTCACATTACCGGTAATTCAAAATAAACTTTAAACAAAAAGGCTACAACTTATAATCATTGTCATGCTCTCTATAACTTTATAAATTTCCTCAATATCATAATACTGCTTTTCTAATAAATCTATTTGGCATGTTGTTGGTACATGAAATGGGTAACTCCACAAGAAATCTTCCAAAATTTTTAACATTTTTAGCTCATAAAACTAATCAAAATAAACCTTCAAATAATAATGAAGAAACTAGTGATCACTCTGGTTGAAGCCTTCAACGATGGACTGACTGACAGATAATATACAACCACATTTAAATGTATAAAGATAGCCAAGCAAAGTGTGGAATACGCCCACACAGCAGCTTTGTTTCCAAAAAAAAGATTGTATCACTTTCAGAAGCTATTCTGAAAGCTTCAGCAAAATCTATCATGCTGACAATTGAATTACAAACAACGTGGACAGGTTTCAGCAAACAGGAGCTGTCATAACACGAGGTTTCTGAAAGTTTCTGAAAAATCAGATAAAAAGCGGTTACCATGCACGATTCGTCCACATTTTGCAAGAGATGAGCAGAGAAATTGATAAAAAAGGCGATTTTTTTTTTAACACTCAGGGGTTATAATCCAGGACGTTAGGGTCCGATAGGCGCAAATATCGAAAGGAACCCAGATCTTTGGGATATAAACATATGAAGTTTTAACAAAATTTGATGAAAATTGTGATCTCTAGAGGGTCCACAACCTTGATATTACCTACTTTTACACTATTTGAGTACAGGGAGTGGCCATTTTCATGAAATTTAAACTCAACTGTCATTATGGTGTAACTGTGATATATTTAAACGGTTTTTAAATTGGATGAAAATTGTAACCTCTAGACGATCCACAAGCGAAAAATGCTATTTTATGTACAATCAGGGGCCATAATCCATGAAAATGTGGACTTATAAAAACTGTAGTATCTGTTACGCTGACAAAAAGTGAGGACAGTTCGGCAAAAAAGGGGCATAACTCTAAAATATTAATCTAATTTTGACAAAAGGAAATAGAGATGTTCGTCTTGTTATAATACAAGTTTCCTGAAAGTTTCAGAAAAAACTGTAGCATCTAGCACACTGACAGGAAAGTGTAGACAGACCAGCAGAGGGAAAAGCTGATTACAATATATGTCCACATTAACCAAGATAGGTTGCCAGGCAACAAAACATACGCCCACAGCAGCTAAATCGTCCGAGCGGTCGACAAGGGTTGTCGCATATTTATTCCTTTGTAGGTAATTGGGGGCCTTTACAAGACAGTTCCATACAGATCAGATTACAAATTTTGTCGTTTGAGGGTTTACAAGGTTCTACAAACTGAAACAAGGGTCTCAACTCCGGAAGTAATCTACAGAAATTGTTGAAATTTGACAGGCTTTTTCGTTTTACTAATTTAAATAATGCATATAAATTTCATACAGGTCACATGATCACTTTTGTCATTGAAACGTTCACAATCGCCATAACTCTAGAAATTATTGACGGAAATTACTGAAGTCCAATAGACCTGTTTCACAAATTTAAATGATGCATATAAATTTCATACATATCGGATGATAACTGTTGTCATTAGAGTGTTCACAAGATTTAACAAAGTGAAACAAGGGCAATAACTCTAGAAGTAATTATTGTAAATTGCTTAATTACTATAGGCCTTTTCATTTCACTAATTTAAATTATGCATATAAATTTCATACATATCGGATGATAACTGTTGTCATTAGAGTGTTCACAAGATTTAACAAAGTGAAACAAGGGCAATAACTCTAGAAGTAATTATTGTAAATTGCTGAAATACTATAGGCTTTTTCGTTTCACTAATTTAATTCATGCCTATAAATTTCACAAAGATCGGGTGGTAACTTTTGGTGTTAGAGCGTTCACAAGGATCAATTAAGTGAAACAAGTCCCATAACTCTAGACGTAATAAACGGAAATTCCTGAAATTCAATAGGCTTCTTCGTCTCACTAATTTAAATAATGCATATAATTTTCAGAAAGATCGAATGATAACTTTTGATGTTAGAGCGTTCACAAGGACCAATAAAGTGAAACAAGGGTCATAACTCTAGACATAATAAACGGAAATTTCTGCGTTTCAATAATCTAAATAATGCATATAAATATCAGAAATATTGGATGATAACTTTTGACGTTAGAGCGTTCACAAGGACCAATAAAGTGAGACAAGGGCCATAACTCTAGACATAATAAACGGAAATTACTGAAATTCAATAGGCTTCTTCATTTCAATAATCTAAATAATGCATATAAATATCATAAAGATCGGATGATAACTTTTTGAGTTAGAGCGTTCACAAGGTTCAATAAAGTGAAACAAGGGCCATAATTCTAGACGTAATAAACAGAAATTATTGAAATTCAATAGGCTTCTTCGTTTCACTAATGTAAACAACATATATCAATTTTAAAACAATTAGATGATAACTTTTGTCGTTAGAGCGTTCACAAGAAATTGTGGACGATGGACGGACGGACGGATGGGGGCGACGACAATATACGACCACATTTCCATGTGGGCGTATAAAAAATTAAGTGCCAAACGATTCGTTACCTGTCAGATAGCACATTCGTGCGTAGAACCTTTAGTATTGTATATTATATCCTTATAACATATTTTTACTATTTTTATTGTTATAAATATTGTTTAACCAGCGGATGCCAGGCAGGATCCGCCCACATTTTGCAAGAGATGGATAGAGAACAAGCTAAAAACAAACAGGATTTTTTATACAATCAGAGGCAATAATCCAGAAAGTTATGGTCTGAAATGCGCAAATATCAAAAGGGACTGAGATCTTTGGGATATAAAGATATGTTTTAAGTTTCATCAGAATTAGATAAAAATTGTGACCTCTAGAGGGTCCACAACCTTCGTTTTGCATACTTTTACACATTTTGCATACAAAGAGCGGTCCTTTTGTCGGGCAGTTTCATTTCGGTTTTCCCGAAATTCGAATTCAACCTTCATTATGGTGGAATGGTGAAATATTTAAATGGTTTTTAAAATCGAAAAAAAAAATTGTGACCTTCAGAAAATCAGCAAGCTAAAAATGCGATTTTTGGAACAATCAGGAGCCATAATCCAGGAAGTTACGTTCGGATATACGCGATTATCAAAAGGAACCAAGATCTTAGTGTGTAATGGTGATATATTCACATGTTTTTTTTTTTTTAAATCAGATAAAAATTGTGACCTCTACAACAAGCTAAAAACATGATTTTTCATAAAATCAGGGCCATAATTCAGGAAGTTACCATCCGATATCCCTGAATATCGAAAGGAACCAAGATCTTTGTGTTATAAACATTGCATTTCCAGTTTTATCAAAATCAGATCAAAATTGTGACCTCTAGAGGGTCCAGAACTTTGATATACCAGATGTTTACACTAATTGTGTACGAGGGGCGGCCATTTTGTCAGTCAGTTTCGGTCCGATTTTCATGAAATTCGAACTCGACCAAAATTATGGTGTAACAGTGATATGTTTTTTTAAATCGGATAATAATTGTGACATCTAGAGGGACCTCAAGCTAAAAACGCGATTTTTCGTACAATCAGGGGCCATAATTCAGGAAGTTACTATTCGATATGTGCGAATATCGAAAGGAATTAAGATCTTCAGGTTTTAAATTTACATTTCAGGATTCATCAAAATCAGAAGAAAATTGTGACCTCTAGAGAGTCCACAACCTTGATATACCATATTTTTACACTATTTGAGAATGTGGGGCGGCCATTTTGTCTGTCAGTTTTGGGCCGATTTTCACGAAATCAGGGGCCATAATTCAGGAATTTACGGTCCGATATGCGCGAATATCGAAAAGAACCAAGATCTTTGGGTTATAAACTTACATTTCAAGTTTCAACAAAATTGGATAAAAATTGTGACCTCTAGAGGGTCCACAAACTAAAAACACGATTTTTCATAGAAGTTACGATCCGATACATGCCAATATCGAAAGGAACCGAGATCTTAGGGAGATAAACCTATATTTCAAGTTTTGTTGAAATCCGATAAAAATTGTGACCTGTAGAGTGTCCACAAAGAATTGTGGACTTACGGAGGGACAGGGGCGACGATAATATACGTCCACATGAAAATGTGGGCGTATAAAAATTGTAGTTATAAAAGCTTATTTCAAAGATAGGTTGCCAGGCAACGAAACATACACCCACAGCAGCTAAATCGTCCGGGCAGTCAACAAGAGTTGTCACATATTTTTAATTTTCGGTAATGAAACATTTATAATAAACTAAAATCTGATTATAAATTTAAAGTCAATTGGATATTAACTTTGACCTCTAGAGTGTCCACAAGATTTTTCAAAGTGATTAAGGGCCATAACTCTGGCAGTAATTATCGGAAATCACTGAAAATCAATAGGCTTCTTCATCTAAAGACCTTAAACACTGTGTAGAAATTTAAAGTCAATCGGATATTAACTTTAGCCTCTAGAGCGTCCACAAGCAATTGTGGACGCCGGACGGACGGACGGGGGCGACGGCAATATACGTCCACATTTCAATGTGGGCGTATAAATTGAGGTCCTGTGTACATATTGGCATGTAGTAAAAGATACCTTGGCAGTTGGAATTCGATATGAGAATAGACTGTAGTGCCCCTGGCATATGCCCAGTCGAAGCAGAATTGTAGGGTGTTATTATACCCCATTTCATTTCATATGATATGTGGGGGTATAAAAATTAATTTATAATACCTGTTTTCTTATCTTTATAAGTAATAACCGATTTTGTTCCTTCTTCATTATACAGAATGTCAAATATCTCAATATCTAATTTTCCTTCAAGATAATTCTGTAGTGTTTCTTTTTTTGTATCCTGATTGATGTTAGTAACCAGTAATCTGTTGTTTTGTAATGGTGGTGGTGTATAGATCCCAACCTTAAGTTTATTTTTACCAACCTTATGATCTTTACCACAAACTTCTATGGCATCTTTTGAAACACAAAAGAAATATTTATTGCATCATTATATTTTTGGCATCCTCCCATGAAGTCGCTGTATAAAGTTTTAAAAAATGGCTATAATTTCAGTTATTGATGGTATTTCGACACAAGTATTGCTACAGTGGGACCAATTAAAGGTATAAACCTATATTCTGTTATAATGGTTAAAGATAAGTTGCCAAGCAACGAAACAAATGTGTGAGCCCTTGAATATGATTGTCACTTATTTATTATTTTGTAGTAATGGGAGCATTTACAAGGTTCTACAAAGTGAAACAAAGGCCATAACTCTTGAAGTTATTAATGGATATTGATGAAATGAAATAGACTTCTTCATTTTGCTAATTTAGATAAGGTATAAAAATACAGATCGGGTGATAAGTTTTGTCGTTCTACAAGGTTCTACAAAGAGAAACAAAGGCCATAACTCTAGAAGTTATTAATGGATTTTGATGAAATGAAATGGGCTTCTTCATTTTGCTAATTTAGATAAGGTATAAAAATACAGATCGGATGATAAATTTTGTCGTTAGACCGTTCACAAGGTTCTACAAAGTGAAACAAAGGCCATAACTCTAGAAGTAATTAACGGAAATTGTTGAAATTTTTATAAACACAAATTCTCATAACTATTAAAGATGCATTATGTAAGATTTAGATAAAGAGCTGGCCGTTCTTGCTATAATAGTTCCAAAATAGATCATTCATTATTAATTTCATTCAAATTACTTTATTAGAAAAGATCTGGCATAGATTGTTTATCATTGTGGTGATTGTATCTAAACTTGTTTAAATCTCTGTCATCCTATAATCTAGAGAGTTTGTTATAGGCTTGTCATGTTAATAATAAACTATATAACATTTGAAGCCAAAATAAAAACCTGCAATAGACAGATTTAGCTCTTACATAATGCATCTTTAAAATTCTGCTTTTTCTAGTTGATTTCTTAGCAAAAAGCTAAAATATGTAAATAATGTACCTTCTGGTGAAGACAAGGTAACAAATATACAGTTTTCTTCCTCATCAAAATCTATATTTACAGGATCTGCACCAAATTTACGTTTATTATTTAAATAGAGTTTTATTTTGTTTTCTGATGTTTTTTTACTAACTCCAGTTATCATTACAATTGTTCCATTAGACTCTGATTCATCCTTTTCATTTAATGGATTAAATAGTTCAACTGTTAATTTACATTTATCTAATGTGTGTTCCTTTTCACATACCAATTCAGCATCTGGAAAAAGAGTGCATCTATTAAAAATACAGTTCTTACTGTATTTGAATTATTTATACTTTTAAAATACATTCTATAAACATTGAACGAGTGAGAAAATATTACAGAATACCATAATAAATAACATAACTAGAGCAGTTTTAAGCGGTGGAATTTCCTTTGAACTACCCCGTATTTCAATAATTACCTGCCTTACATGTTTTTTACAGAATGGTAGTTTGCAATATGCACTATAAAATTAAAATCAGAAAATTCTCAAGTTCGATATTATATACGCCTAAATGAACAATCACATCAAAAACGTGCAATATCTCTGATTACAGAAAAGAGTTATGATTCGTTGAACACTTTCAGTAAGTTTCAAAATATAAGATGTATTGCAACCAACCATCGAAACAATGGAAATAAATCTGACAGTAATTATCGAAACCAATGAGTATGAACAAGCCTCTTCATCTCATGAACATAAGCATCATGTATCAACACCATCAGAGGATAACATAACCTCTGGGATGTACACAAGATTCTTAGAAGTGATGGAGGGCAACAACTCCCACAATTTAATCATCTCATGCACATTAACATTGAATATAAATTGCAAGTCAATCGACTAGCCTATAGTGCCTCAACAAGAGTTTTCAATTGAGTTTATAGCCCAAAACTCTGAAAAGTAATCATCTCTGAAGTTCACTGGCATATATCACTTATTTTACCTAACCTTCAACAGTAGATAAGGTCACATAAGCACATTTTTCCTCTTCATTTATTTCAATATTTTCAGCAACTGCACCAAATCTTTTCTTGCTCTCTAAATACATCTCTATCATCTGTTTACTTGTTGTATCTTTATATCCACTAACACGAACTATTCTTTTACCATCATCATGTGTTGAATTATCTTGTGTTGATGGGTCGAATATTTCAACTGTTAACTCACAACCATCTAATATATGTTCTCTACTACATACCAATTCAGCTTCTGGAACAAGAACAGAAAGTATACTGTGTACTTACAAAAAATACTAAAAACAGCCCGTTTTTTCTTACCAACTTTTGCTTCAAATAGTTTTTCTTTGCCTTTCACATAAACTTTCCTCCCGTGCTAACAAAACCACTTTGTTAAATTTACCCCTTGTTTCACTAAAAGTAAACAATTGTGTATCCACTTTGTTAAACGTACCTTCAGTTGTATCAAATGTTACAAGTAAATATGTTTTATCTTCACTCAGTTCAACTTTTTCTGCTTCTGCTCCACACTTCTTCTGATTTTCAAAGTACAACTCCATCAACTGAAAACTTGTTGACGCTTTGAATCCAGATACTTTAATAGCTTTTAATGCTGGAATTTCTTCTTCATAATATTGAACAGTTAATTTCTCACTGTCCAGAAGATGATCTCTTGAAAGAACAGTCTTAACATCTGAAAAAACATATTATCATACTTTATAATGAACTTGTTCCTCAAAAGAATTACTCAAAGAAGAAAAGATAATTCTTGTTGAAATTTATTGACATAAAATAAATCCTCTTTATAAACCTGTAGTGGTATATTTCTTTGATCTTTGGGGTATATTCTATGCCCAGAATAACTTGAGGTCTGAAAGTCAGGGCAGTTTTGGATATATACAGGGGAATTTGGGGTTATTCTTCAGAAAGTTTTTCTTTAAACCTGTAATGGGTTATTCTTCCAGAGTAGGGTTTATTTTTTCCATAAGAAAACATGATATAAGGTTTTTCTTACAAGAATTCTGGGATATTCTCATTAAGATAAAGTCCTCAACTTCGGTTATGCTGGGGAAGAAATACTTCAGAAAAAAACCCTCGACAGAAAAACCTCAGCCTATAACTGGCCTTGGTTTTTCTTTTTCTTGGGTTATTTTCTCCAGTCTTTCTTTCCCCAGCATAATCTCAGTCTCGTGATTTATCCTACACATATAATCATATTACGTCATTAGAAAACATCTATAAAAGGACCTTACATTTTTTTCTAATCTTTATGTATCTAAAGAAGGTCTACTAAGACCGAAACGTCATCATTAAAATCTAATCTTATCAACACAGTGTCTGTTCTTCTTGGGTTAGGGGATCCTTTACTTATTTGTTCAAGTTTACGATCTGCCAAGCATCTGTAGATCCTCGCGAAGGCAGTTTTTACATAGATTACTTCCAGCTGTAGGATATTGTGAGCTGGTAGATGTTTTATTTTAGTATATAAATATTTCAGTGATTATCAGAAAGTTAAAATTGTCCGAACATTAAATTTTCTTTTATTTCACTTCATTTTAAATAACATTATTGAGATTCTGAGTGGTTAAAGGGGTGCAACTCTGATTAATTACACTTCCAACATGTTCTTATATGTTAAGAATTCTAATTGGCTTTGTATTTTGTAAAATGATATCTTATTGGTCATGTCAGTACATGTGCTTCTCGGCTGCCATTATTGAATCTAATTAAAGTTAAAAAACATAAATATCAATTTGTTATCTTCTCCAGGTAATATCCAATTATCATGCTAAAAACTTATCTATTATTGTTTATAAGATGTCAGAGATTAGAGTTAGCATATTTGCAGGGACGAATTACTAATTCCTGAATTTATTTGCCCAGCAGAATCTTGTCGCTCTAATCCCTGAAATCTGCCTATTATTATTACACGTGGCCATGCGCTCATGGTTTTCACCGGAAGTAGGTTTCGTTAGTAAAATCAGTATTTATCTTTGTTTATGAGAAAAACCTTAAAAGTAATTTCTATTTCATATTGTTGTTAACATGCATAAAACTTCCTTTTAAGTATGTTTACATTTGTGAAACTCTTTGATTCCTTGTACGCATGAGTAAAGACTGTAATGATATTGTATTGTTTTATTCATTCACTCCTTCAATTAATTTGGAAAATCTTTATAATCTGTCAGTGGTATTGCATGTTGAATTGACCACTGTCATACTTTTTAAATTGCTTTGTATAACATTGCCCATATAACCTCGAGCCGTATTCCATTTGTGCGGTATGTCTTTGCCTTGTATGTAGCCTACATGTAGACCTAGGTAGAACACTAAGGAGTATTGACATCTTCTCAGACAAATATCCATTGCGCAAAAGCAGTCTAAGGACTTTGTATTTTAGTCTTAGCCATGTAACCTTTTCATTATACATGTAATATCCTATTGTTATGTTGCTCGTGCTGTGTTAGGGATTATTATTATTATTAGGGTTTCACACTGCGTAGCTTGTGTGAAACACTATTGTTTTTGTTAAGATTATTATTCTTCTTATTATTATTATTAATCTTTTTCCATTTTGATTAGCTTTCAGCAACTGCTTGTCGCATCATTACGATTTCTTAGGTTTTACTGGGACAGTAAGTGTGACTTAGAGGATAAAGCTATTTTGAATGTTCTGCGACAATGCGAAATGTCCAAAATCACTGAAGTTATCGTTTTTAAAAATATTACAGTTATTTTAACAATAATAGTTGGATTTTAACATTTGATACATTTTGGCATAGCTAGAGACAGGGCACATAGCTACGCTACTTTTGATTGTCGACAAATCTTCGCAGATATTAGGCACCAAATTTAGAAAATCTAAATTTTTACAAAAAAACTTTTTTATTTATGAATATTTTATGGTCCTGTTTTACACAGAATTAAAGAGTAATCTGACTCGAGCAAATATGTGAATTTTTTTTTGTCTCAGTAATTTTCCTTGGCCACCATTGGCTAATTCAGTTTTTCAGTCCTAGATTAATTATATATTGTTCGATTTGTATAAAACAAAGTTCATATGCTCCGTTGTCTCAATTGTCATTTTTTTTGTTACCGATAAGAGTTATCTGTCAGCACCGGAAGTGGCGTAATTTTACTAAAAACTTAAGTACCACTTTTCAAAAGCAAATATTATTTTTTTTAAAACTCATATAACTAAAAGAGTGTGCCCTTTAAAGGTGCATAAAACAGTGAGCTCAGTTTTTTTAATTTCGATTTCATTTTCGAGCAAATTCGATTAAGAGGTGAAAAAAGGTGTAAAATTGATCTATTTATAACCCATTCAGGCTTTTTAGATTTTAAAATATTTCTACATAACTTTTATAAACTTGTAGCTATTATCAATACGGAGACAATGTACGTTAAAATTAGTTTGTAATATGAGCAGTTGCTGAGAAATGGGCATTTTTGCATGAGTCCCTTTTTACGCTATTTGCCTGTAAAAGAGTGAATTATTATTGGATTTTCATAGAAGTGACACCATTTGATGCGTAATTTCAATTTTGACTAGGTCAAACTAATTTAACAGTTTAAATGTCACCGGAAATGACGTAGTTTGGGCAAAAACTGTATTTATAGCCTTTGAAACAAATGATTTATTCATATCAGTCGTATTTGTTATTTGTTTGAAATTTTGATATTTGATTCCAGTCAACTAAAAGAATGAACCCATACGATCATATAGATAACACAAAATGATTTCTAACTTGTTCAGTTGCGGAGAAATAGGTGATTTTCAACAGGTCACTTTTCAAGGTTTTAGGTCCATAAAAGTGTCAATTATTATTCGATTTCCATAAAATTTTCACTGTGTGATACCTAATGCCATTTACAATTTCATACATGTAATAAAAAATTTTTCATTATCACCAGAGAAGTACCATCATTTTGGCAAAAATTGTATTTTTAGCCTCTAAAACAAATACTTGTTTGAAGTAAGCGATATTCATTATTCATATAAAATTATGATATTTGATTCCTATGGACAAATAGCATTAATCAATACGATCATATTGATATCACAAATTTTTTTTTAGCATCTTCCCTTGCCGAGAAATAACCAATTTTGTCAGGATCACTTTTTAAGATTTTTTGCATTTTAATTTCAGTTTATGGGTGGCATACTCCTAATGAGACGTCTAAGGTCATTTTGGTCCAGATTGTCCCATTCCTGTTGCAACGCAGCAGCAAGTTCTTGGACATTGGCAGGACGTTGTTGACGTTGACGTAACCTCTGTCCAAGCATGTCCCAGACATGCTCGATGGGGGAGAGGTCCGGACTCAGTGCTGGCCAAGGTAATGTGGTGATGTTCTGTTGTTGGAGGTAACCTGTAACGATCCTGGCCCTGTGACATCTTGCGTTGTCATCCTGGAAGATGGAACGGCGGCCATGACGTCGTGCGAACGGCACAACATGGACTGCCAAGATGTTGTCCCGGTAGTACTGGCCTGTAACACGCCCTGCAACAACATGTAAAGCCGTTCTTCCAGCAACAGTGATGCCTCCCCACACCATAACAGAACCACCCCCAAATCGATCATGTCTGATGACGTTAACGTCTTGGAAGCGCTCGTTTCGACGACGCCACACCCTCCTACGTCTGTCCAAAAAATCAACAGTGAACCTTGACTCATCTGAAAACATCACATTGCTCCAGCGTCGATTATCCCAGTGTTGACGAACCCTACACCAACGACATCTTGCCTGAATGTGATGATCTCTCAAACAAGGGATCACGCGAGGACGTCGGGCGCGAAGGTGACCCCTATGCAGTCGATTCCAAATCGTCTGGCCACTCACTCTCACACCAGTGTCTGTTTGAAGACGAGCGCTGAGCTGATTTGCTGTGATGACACGATTTCTCAAGGCCAAGGTACGGATAAATCGATCCTGGGCTTGAGTTGTCGCCCTTGGTCGACCTGAGCGTGGTCTGTCCTGTACAGATTGTGTATCACGGTATCTGGACCATAGCCTGCTTATGACAGACTGAGAAACATTCATCGTCCGCGCCACAAAATTTGTTTTCTGGTCACTAAAACAATTAAACTGATGTTTCCACCCTGTAATTCAATGCCACAATGACTGTAACATTCAAAGTCAGAGTCGTGCAAATCTTGGGTTGGACCCCCATGATGATCCCAAGCATCACCTGCATTCCATGCGGTAGCTATTGGTGCGTTTGGGCGTCACATGTAACTGGAAATGTTTCTTCTGTTAGGTTCTATAGTGACTTTTTTCGTAGTCATTTGCATATTTTAGTATTATGCCCCCAAAATCAAATATCCCCTACTTTTTTTGAATAGTATATCTAACACATGGTAACCAATGTATAAATGGAATTGATATTGTTGGATTCAGTTGATTCTACATCCATTTTATAACACGTGTGCAATGCTTATGTGGAAATCTGTTTAATGGTTTCAATGGTACCGGAAGTGACATAAGGTCAAGTTTAACGTGGCATTGGAAGTGACATAAGTTCAAGGGTAACTTGGCATCAGTGAAACCCGTCATTACTGCATTGCAGCTCTAGTTATTATTTTGTTGCTGAGTACAAATGTACATGTGCTTCTCGGCTGCCATTATTGGATCTAACTAAAGTTAAAAAACATAAATTTCAAATTGTTATCTTCCCCAGGTCGACAGTTTATAACAACGGGAGGGCTACACAGCTACATGTACCCCACTGTTTAATTTTTTGCAGTTTTTCTCTAGTCAACGGCTTCAATACCCAATCAAATTCTCCTTACTTTTTAAAATGATAAATAGTGTGGGTAATCAAAGACATTAAGAATCAGTTATATGGAAGGTTTTCTTATCTGGAACCCTAGTATATAATAATATGAATTGCTTTGACTGTTTACTGATAATCATTTGTGCTTAACTTACCATCAATTGTTGAATAAGTTACAAGGGTGTAACCATCCTCTTTAAAAGACTTTACTTCTTCAGCAGAAGCTCCAGATCTTTTCTTGCTCTCAAAATACATATCGATCATTTCTACTGATGTGTTAGGATTGAAGTCAGTAATTTTTAAAGTTTTGTTCTCTTTTTCAATTTTCACATCTCCAGTAAAGGGTTTCACACAAACATCAGAACCGTGAAATTGCACAACCTCTTTCTTAGATATGTGTTTCACCGCTGAAATTAAAAAAAAGGTCACCAAGCAAACAAAAATGTGTCCACAGCAGCTAAGTCATCTGAGCAGGCCATAACGGTTGCTGCATTGTCGTTTTTAAGTAAATAAAAAGTCAAATCTTGATACTAAAAGTCAACACTAAATGTGAGTCCACATCTTATGGCATAATATTTATTAACAAAGGGCAGTAAAATTTTATTTGCATCTTTGAAAATTTGTTAAATATGTTTAGGTTTTCATAAATCTTCATGATTGTGAAACGCTTGCAAAGTTCTAGATCGGTCTAACAATGTTATCTTAGTTATGAGGTGTATGAGGAGGAGCTATTTCATAAGAATTTTATTTCATATCTAATTTTCAGAAAGGGGGATATTTTCATATACAAAACCACTATCTCTGCCATCAAAACAGAGTTACTGTCTCTTGATATTCAACCCTTGTTTTCTTTGTCCATACCAATAAATAGTACCACACCAAAAATAATTCTATGTTATTGAGTATGAATTAATTATTACCATCAGATTTATCATATTTCAAAAAAGCCTTATTCTCTTTCTTATTCAAATCTACAGCAAGCAATTTGGCATCTTGGGCTAACTTTTTCTTCTCAAAGAACATAGACAAAGCTTCTTGAGTAACATCATTTGGTAATTTGCTGACTTCTAAAATATTAGTCTCTAGAAAATAAAAATTTAATCTTAAATTGATAACAAATATCTAACATCACAAAAATCTCAAAATAAATACATGACATTCATTAATTACTTACAAATTAATAGTTTTGTAAAGCATTGAGCAATTGAATTGAGCATCACTCTGCCTAACCTGAGTTATTGTTTTCTAAAGACTCAATCAATCAAATTGTTTATCTCTACAAGCAGGAATGCTCATCATCAAACTCAGTCAAGGTATTCACTAAATGAACATCAACACCAAGATTTAACATTCTACCTCAGTTAAGGGCAAAGTTCCTGTGTTCCAAAGTTTTGACCAGCAGAATTGCTTATCTCTACTTTAACAGAAGCAGACAATGATCATTCAATGACTCAACCAAGGCATTCTACCTCAATTAAAAGCAGAGTTACATAATCCAAGTAGTGTGACGGACAAACCCATTTTAAAATTTTCATGCTTTCTTTAAATTAGCCCAGTCGAGCAGAGCAGTAGGACGTTAAACCCCATTTCATTTCTTCAAAAGACGAGTGACCAACAACAATGTGTATCATTCAAGCTGGAAGTGTTACAAGCAATAGACAATTTTATTCTTTTCAGAATCGCTGTATTATAACAAGAGAAAAATACAAATTAATAAGGTTGTTTTTAGTTCAGATTAACCAAGTTAAACTGAAATCGATACGTCCAGTTCTGAATCATCATTAAGAATAATATCCTGCACACACAGTGTAATAAATCACTACTTGTATTACAGTAATTATATGAAAACTTTTGAATAAAAAAAAGATAGGTTGGCAGGCAACGAAACATACGCCCACGGCAGCTAAGTCGTCCGGGGAGTCAATAAGGGTTGTCGCATATTTTTTTTTCTTTTGTCAGAAATGAAAACATTTACAACACACTAAAATCTGATTACGAGTAACAACCCATTTGGCTTCTAGTTCTGCTTTATTCTAATATCTAGCATATAAAACATTTAATATCAATTTCCATAATCATTGGAAATCGTTGAAATGACAGACTTCTTCATCTCATTTGTCAATCGGATATTACTTTTAGCGTCTAGAGCATCCACAAAATATTTCAAAGTGATCAAGAGCCATACCTCTGGTAAAAATTGTTGAAAATCAATAGGATTCTTCATCTTATGATCTTAAACACTGTATAAATGTAAAGTCAATCAGATATTAACTCTCAAGAGCTTCTAAAAGATTTTTCAAAGAGGTCAAGCGCCATAACTCTGGCAGTAATTATCGGAAATCGGTGAAAATCAATAGGCATCTTCGTTTCATGACCTTAAACACTGTGTATAAATTTAAAGTCAATCAGATATTAACTTTAGCCTAAAGCATCCACAAGATTTTTCAAGGGCCATAACTCTGGCAGTAATTATCGAAAATCAATAGGCTTTTTCGTCTCATGACCTTAAACACTGTGTATAAATTTGAAGTCAATCGTATTTTAACTTTAGTCTCTAGAGCGTCCACAATTGTAGGCCTAACAGACAGACGGACAGGGGCGACGACAATATACGTCCACATGAAAAGGTGGGTGTATAAAAAGTAACATTGTAATCACCTTCAATGACAATACATGTATATCCTACTGTGATATTGACATGCCTGTTCATATGAAACAATATAAAGGCAGACTGCCAGGCAACAAATCATACACTTAGTCGTCTGGGCAGTCAACAAAGGTTATTGCAAATTTATAATTTTGTAAAAACTGATCAATACAGAAATGGTTAAAATTTGATTGGCTTGTAGTTTTTCCTAAAGCCAACATTTATTCCACAAACATGTATTCATAACCAGATGATAACCACATATATAGCTGTTCAAGTTACTGGAAATGATTCCAAATCAATAGACTTCATAAAATCATTGTGAATTAATTTCATACCAATCAGTTAATTATTGTAGTCTTCAGAGCACCCACAAGAGTTCTCAAATTTGTCAAAGGTGATAACTATGACAATAAGTATGAACATAAACACCCTGTATAAATTTGATAACTTTACCCTTTTAAACGTCTGCAAGTAATTGAGGACAAGAGAGAGAAATGAAGATAACGTCCATGTGACCCAGGCAAGGTCATTTCGTGACTAACATATAGTTCAATTTTATTTCAATAATTTGCTTGTGTGTAGGGATAATTAGCAGAGAGAATACCGGAGGACCAAAAGAAAACCTGTGAGGTTGGACAGGTCACTCTTCCCCATGTCACGTGCAAGTGTGGTATTAAAACCACGCCACTTTATTCAATGACAGACATTATGATCTAACAATAATATATGAGTTAGCGCTGGCAATCGATCCTGTTTCAAGTATCGATTATCGCGGACCATCCGCCGATCGATAATCGATAATATCAGCAAATTATTTTGACTTACATTTACATTACACAATTGGTTTGAAAACAATCATAATTTGTACACGAATTATATGCGAGTTTATGCTGTGATATCATTCTGTATACTGTAGAATTTTTTTTTTCATTTATTTGACATTTGACAATAAAATAATACTAGCATTCCATAGCGAAACCAAGGTGTAGAAAGAAACTCGATCAATCCACTTCGTTTGGAAGACAGAACCCGCCACCGCTCAGGCTCGCCATATCTTTGTCGCTTATGACCTAAATGGACACAGATCACCAAATATTCCTACGCCGTCACCCACGAAACAAGGGCTAAAGCTATTTTTAGTCTTCCTCTCCCTTTTCCTTTTTCCCCCTTTTGCATGGCGATTTTTGTTGACTTTTTGGTGTAGAATTGAGGAAAAGGGTTTGAAAATACATTTTCTGCCAGGTTTTGGTGAATATTCATAATTTTGATGCGGAAGGATACAAGAGTTGAGAGGTTGGTTACGTTGAAATGTAGGGCCTGAAATTGCATGTTTACTTGTCTCTACTTCCAGCTTGTGTATCTCAAGTTTTTCATGAAGAACCTCATACGTGCTTTTGGGCAAGTGGTTGCCACATGTTGCTCCATCTGTGGTAGAAAGCGTTCTACCCAACGAAAATTTGGGAAAAAGTTAGAGCCGGTCTAAGATACGAGAATTAACATTGGAGTCAATGGGGAAATCTTTAGTGATCTGTGTCCTGTCTGTGTGTGATAAGGCTGTCACTGATATGCCTTAGTTTTGAAAATATGAAGATTAAATTCTCAGAAAATATGAATAAAATAGTTTGGCTACAGAAAAACTAAAAAAAGTTAATTAAAAAAAAAAAAAATCAAAGTTTTGAAGAAAAATTGTGATTTTACTGCAAATTTCTCAATTTTCAATTTTTATTGAATTTTTAACAGTAAGTAAAATATTCTAATGCCCAATGTTGGCTTATTCAGTCTCAGAAAGCACAGATAAAATGAACAGTATTGAAATTTCACCAAATTTTGTCTAAAAATCAGGAATATTCACAAAAAATCTTGAGATTCCCCCCATTTGGATGTAGAAATTAATATTTTCATGACTACTAAAATGAGTCAAAATGTCTAAAAATGCCCATATTTTCTTTGCTAATATAACTTAGATGGGATCTACATGTTTGTCAGGTTTAGAAATAGCTCCAGCTTTCCTACAGAAAATTGAAAATTGGTAACACTGAGTTAATAATGTACAGCAGATGGGTTTGTACAAAATGTTCAAAACAGGGGTTGGCTCAATTTTGCCACTATTTTACCCAGAATAAGCATTTTTTTCTTCTTTGAAACATTAAATTCTTGCATTTCCTTCATGTAGGAAGCAATATCCCAGCCTTTCTAGACATTTTTTACTCCATCATTCTGTTTAGAGAGGCAATAAATGCCCCACCCCACCCTTTTCTATTAATGTGTTTTGAGGGATTTAAATGCACCTGTGTTGACATGTAAATGATCTTAATTGGAATTTGTGGTTGAATTACAGCTAAGAATGTTATTTTTCACCCAAAAATATTTTTTGTGTGCATTTCAAGGATTTCTAACCCTTATTTGTTCAGAGTCAAACGTAGAACCCTGAGGCACTTCAGGCCAATGAGACCAGACCCAGATATAAAACTGGTGTAGATGTGTAAATGTCAGTTTAATGTTCAATATTTTCTTGTCAAAATCCAGCATTTGTGGTGTTTGCTGCATTTATGTTGCCTATAAAACAATAAAATGTTAATTTTTCTCCTTTTCAGGTCTCTTTTTATGTTGTCAAGTCTGTCATGACTACTTTTTTGACTTCATTTTTTCAGGAAATTAATGTAAAGTTCCAGACATCTTGCTTCAGCACAAGGATTGCAATACAAATTTGTAACATGCCTCTGAGGTTTGAGATGTTGGAAACATTGAAATATTCCCAAATTTGTGAAAATTGTGTATTCTGTGACCCTTCTGTTAGAGAGGGGTGATCATAGACCAAATATGGCATTTTTTTCATTCATCAAGGCCTATTTTTAACCATAATTCATATTTATTGCACCTATTTTAGTTTATATGTGCATATGTTAGCCAGGGATGGTAAAACATAGCTGTTAGACAGATTCCTTTGGTAATGTAAGTTCTGCAACCATAGATTAGATTAATTCAATCAGTGGCATGTTCAGGGGGTAAGCATACATGTTTCAGTATAGATCTCTAATATTACAACCATTGCAACTGGTTTGCATTTTTTCTGTTTGCATATTGTCCACAGATTCTAAAAATATATTTCTTGTCCGTCCGGATATTTAAAAAAGTGGAAAATTATTGGTATTTTGAGAGATGCTACATGTAAATTTTGTACATTTTTCATCACATGGCAGTAAAAAATTATATTTTTGAAAAAAATTCCAAATTATGAGTGTTTTGTATGTAGTTTCTTTGTTACTTGTCTAATTTTTTCACAGAACTCAGATACTGCCTTTAATAAGAAAGATTTTTAAATTTTAGCACAAAAGGCCTATGGACCTGAGATGCACTAGTGTACATAAAGCAGCATGTGTACTTAAAGGGCCATCATTTTTACAGTTATTCTTTGATTTTGATTTTCTTTCACTGGCATGTTGCCAGAACACATGGGAAGGAAATAAAAAAGGCCTTTTGGTGATCCCTGAAGTTTCACCCCTATATAGGACACAGATCACCAAATATTCCTACGCCGTCACCCACGAAACAAGGGCTAAAGCTATTTTTAGTCTTCCTCTCCCTTTTCCTTTTTCCCCCTTTTGCATGGCGATTTTTGTTGACTTTTTGGTGTAGAATTGAGGAAAAGGGTTTGAAAATACATTTTCTGCCAGGTTTTGGTGAATATTCATAATTTTGATGCGGAAGGATACAAGAGTTGAGAGGTTGGTTACGTTGAAATGTAGGGCCTGAAATTGCATGTTTACTTGTCTCTACTTCCAGCTTGTGTATCTCAAGTTTTTCATGAAGAACCTCATACGTGCTTTTGGGCAAGTGGATGCCACATGTTGCTCCATCTGTGGTAGAAAGCATTCTACCCAACGAAAATTTGGGAAAAAGTTAGAGCCGGTCTAAGATACGAGAATTAACATTGGAGTCAATGGGGAAATCTTTAGTGATCTGTGTCCAAATAATACTGAGTTAAATGTAGTTATTTCCCTTTGATCACATCAAACGAATTCTTCAGTTCGCCGTAACAGTTTATTTCTCGCAGTGATTTCTTATCCCTGGGGAAATTAAAAATCTCCCTTCAGACATTTCTTCGCAAATTTCATAATAAAATAATAAATTTTATTAAGGGAAAGTACGTGTTTGACTTAGAAACAAAGAAGACGAAAGAACTGAAGAGTTAAAATAAGGGGCACAACTGGATGTTACGTGAAACCATTGGCTCTCATCATGACATAAGCGGCCAACATTTCTCACCGGTTGCGTCTCGCGTGAAAAAAACCCCAACAAACGTGTGTGTTTTATTATGACTATTCTGTTTAATTGCAGTTCTAGGCCCATGCACGCGTTGCACAGAATACAGTGATAAGGATTATTTTTATGGACTTCTTCTTGCAAGTGAAGTACCTATAATTGCGCGATAATCGATATTTTAAAACTGTATCGATAATCGATTTTCAAAACACTTACCAACGATTATCGGCAATTATCGATTATTTCCGCCAGCCCTAATATGAGTTAGGCCTATAAAAAGAACAAACAACAGGATGGATGACAATATGTTAACACTTTTATAGCAGTCCTGCAAAAAACTGACTATTAATACATGTTTAAATACCTTGCTGTTCAGATAATGGCTCTTTCTGTATGTTTTTAGATAATGTATCCAAACATGGCATGGTAGTAGCATTAGAATATGATGCAGAAACTGTCTCTTCTCGTAGCATTACATTTTGACTTGTATTGAACATTTCACTAAATTGCAAGTTTTTGTTCGTTATTGGATGTCGTGAACTTTCTTGCTGTTTCTTCCACATCAAAAATTGTTCAAACTCTTGTTGAAGTTGTGCTTGTTCATTTTCATTTCGTAACCTGCTGCTTTCGGACATTTCTTTGTTCCCATCACCTACCAGACCCTGTTTTTCCTGATGAGTGTATCCTTCATTTTGAATTTGAATCGTTTGATTGGGATGATCATCAAATATACTTGGTGGTGTGGTTTGTGGCTGTGTTGGTGTCTGTGTTACATATGTGTCCACTGTTTCTTTAGGTAAAGTACCTGGAGTCGCAGTTCTTGATTCAGCCTGATATAAATCAAAGACAGAGTTATTGCCACATGTAACTGTATATTAACAAATTATGACATGATATCTATAGAAACCAGCGGTTGCCAGGCAAGATACGCCCATGTTTTGTAAGAGATGGATAGAAAACAAGCTAAAAACAAAATCGATTTTTCAGGGGCCATAATCCAGAAAGATATGGTCTGAAATGCACAAATATCAAAAGGGACTGAGATCTTTGGGATATAAAGATATATTTTAATTTTCTTCAAAATCGGATAAAAATTGTGACCTCTAGAGGGTCCACAACCTTTGTAATACATACTTTTACACAATTTGCATACAAAGAGCGCCCAATCTGTCCGTCAGTTTCATCTTGATTTTCCCGAAAATCGAATTCAACGTTCATTATGGTGGAATGGTGATATATATTTATTTAAACGGTTTTTAAAATCGGATAAAAAAATTGTGACATCTAGAGAATCCACAAGCTAACAAACACGATCTTACGTACAATCAGGGGCCATAATCCAGGGAGTTACGGTCTGATATGCGCAAATAGCAAAAGGAACCAAGATTTTTGAGTCATAAACATATAAACATATATTTTAAGTTTCATCAAAATCAGATCACAACTGTGACTTCTAGAGGGTCCACAACCTTGGTATGACATAACTATTACACTATTTGCGTACAAGGAGCCGGCATTTTGTCAGGTAGTTTTGGTCCGATTTTAATGAAATTTGAACTCAACCATCATTAAAGTGTAACAGTGACAAACGTGATTTTTCATACAATCAGTGGCAATAATCCATGAAATTACGGTCCGATATGCGCAAATATCAAAGGAACTACAATCTTTGGATTATAAACATAAGTTACAAGTTTCATCAAAATCGGATAAAAATTGTGACTTCTAAAGTGTTCAAAACCTTGGTATTACATACTTCTACACTATTTGCGTACTAGAAGTGGCCATTTTGTCTGGCAGTTTTGGTCAGATTTTTTATGAAAATCGAACTCAACCTTCATTGATGTGTAACGGTGATATATTTAAACGTTTTTTAAAATTGAATACAAATTGTGATTTCTAGCGGGTCCACATGCTAAAAGTGTGATTTTTCGAACAATCAGGGTCCATAATCTAGGAAGTTAGTTCGAATATGTGCCATTATCAAAAGGAACCAAGATCTTTGTGATATAAACATATCATCAAAATCGGATAAAAATTGTGGCCTCTAGAGGGTCCACATTGAGGACTCCACAACCTTAATATACCATATTTTTACACTATTCGCTTACGAGAGTCAGCCATTTTGTCTGGCAGTTTTGGTCCGATTTTCACGAAATATCAAACTCAAACATCATTAGGGTGATATATTCAAACGTTTTTTTAAATCGGATAAAAATTGTGACCTCAACGGGGACCACAAGCTAAAAACGCGATTTTTTGTACAATCAAGGGCCATAATTCAGGAAGTTACGATCCGATATGCATGAATATTGGACGGAGCCAAGATCGTTGGGTTATAAACATGCATTTCATATTTCATCAAAATCAGATGAAAATTGTGACCTCTAGAGTGTCCACAAGCTAAAAATGTGATTTTTCATACAATCAGGGGCTATATCCATGAAGTTATGGTCCAATACATGCCAATATCGAAAGGAACCGAGATCCTTGGAAGACGTATATTTCAAGTTTTGTCCAAATCGGTTAAAAATTTAGACCTGTAGAGTGTCCACAAACAAATTGTAGAAGGATGGACGGACGGATGGACAGACGTCTGGCTGGACAGGGGCGACGGCATAATACGTCCACTTGAAATGAGGCCATATAAAAATGTTCTATTAAAATATCCTGATAACCATAAATAATGAAACATACTTGAACTAGATAGGTTCCTTTTTCGTTTAATTGAAACAACGCATGCAGATAGGCTGATAACTTTTACCACAAGATGCTTCAAATTGCCCAAGGGAGATAACTATTATAAATTGATGAAATTAAATCTGTAGGCTTCGGAGAATTCTAGATTACATCTCGAGACCTTGATGCAATCTGCAGGTCCAAACCCACAATCCACATATGACGTCATGTGCTAGACCGTCTTCGATGGCTTCACCATGCTACTAGTAGCGCTGCATTTAATTTCAAGTTGGTTGGATTATAATTGGATTATAGCAACTGATACACTGTGTCGATTTCGGCTATGCTATTTCTCATTTTGATGTGAAACACACCAAAATGAGAGACTTCTTGTCCTCTTAACTAGAACAAGCCAACAGTGAGGGTGATGTCCCCCGCCGAAATCCCAAAATAAATATATGACACATATTAATTAATCGCACATCTATTTTTTTCAAAGAATCAAGCAATCAAACTGATTATCAACTATACACTCCAGAGCATTGACCAATGAAATTGCTTAGCTATGCTTAGCTATAGATCAAAATGTTAATCATTGAACTCAGTAATGAACATCTACATCAAGTTTAAACATTCTACCTCAATTAAAAGCAGAGTTGTTACGCTCCAAAGTCTTGACCAATCAAATTGCTTATCGCTCCTTAGCCTAAGCAGAAAATTTTCATTATCGAACTTAGTCAAGGTAATGATATAATGAATCTATGCTCGGAGTTTCATCACTGTCAAATAATTATAACCAAAGTTATCATGCCCCAAAGCATCAACCAATCAGATAGCTTATCTCTGCTTACCGTAAGCAGACAATTTTTTTATCATCGATCTCCATCAAGGCATGAAATTTGAAATCAGCCATCATTAAGGTGGAACAGTGATATATTCAAACGTTTTTTTAAATCAGATAAAAATTGTTACCTCTAGAGTGGCCACAAGCTAAAAACATGATTTTCCGTACAATCAAGGGCCGTAATTCAGGAAGTTATGATCTGATATTCGCAAATTTTGAAAGGGACCCAGATCTTTGGGTTATAAATATGTATTTCAAGTTTCATCAAAATCGGGTCAACATTATGACCTAGAGGGCCCACAACCTTCATATACCGTATTTTTACACTATTTGCGTACAAAGGGCGGCAATTTTGTCCAGCAGTTTTGGTCCGATTTTCAAGAAATTCGAATTTTTTTAAATAGGATAATAATTGTGACCTCTAGTGGGACGACAAGCTAAAAACAATTTTTTTTGTACAATCAGGGGCCATAATTCAGGAAGTTACGATCTAATATGTGCAAATATCGAAAGGAACCAAGATCTTTGGGTTATAAACATGCATTTTAAGTTTCATCAAAATGAGATGAAAATTGTGACCTCTAGAGTGTCCACAAGCTAAAAACGTGATTTTTCGTACAATCTGGGGCAATAATCCATGAAGTTATGGTGAGATATATGCCAATATCGAAAGGAACCAAGATCTTTGGGAGATAGACATGCATTTTAAGTTTCATCAAAATGAGATGAAAATTTTGACCTCTAGAATGTCCACAAGCTAAAAACGTGATTTTTCGTACAATCAGTGGCCATAATCCATGAAGTTATGGTCCGATATATGCCAATATCGAAACGTAACAGATCTTTGGGATATAGACCTATATGTTAAGTTTCGTTAAAATCAAATAAAGATAAGTTGCCAGGCAATGAAACATAGCAGCTAAATCGACTGGGCAGTCAATGTTTAGTATACAAAACTTTTAATATCACAGATTTAGCTGTTCACGTCATAAAATTTCATTGTGAATTAATATACTTGTTCGTCTCAAGACCTTAAACTCTGTGTATCGATCTAAAGTCGATCGGATGATAACTTTAGCCTCTACTAGCTAGAGCGTCACAAGATATTTCAAAGAGATCAAGGGCCTATAACTTTGGCAGTAATTATCAGAAATTGTTGAAAATCAATATGATTCTTTGTCTCATGACCTCAAACACTGTGTATAAATTTAAAGTCAATCGGATATTCACTTTAGCCTCTAGAGCATTTACAAGATATTTTGAAGTGATCAAGGGCCATAACTCAGGCTGAAAATCAATAGACTTCTTCGTCTCATGACCTTAAACACTGTGTATAAATTTAAAGTCAATTGGATATTAACTGTAGCCTCTAGAGCATCCACAAGATATTTCAAAGTGATCAAGAGCCATAACTCTGGTAAAAATTGTTGAAAATCAATAGGATTCTTCATCTTATGACCTTAAACACTGTATAAATGTAAAGTCAATCAGATATTAACTCTCAAGAGCGTCTAAAAGATTTTTCAAAGAGGTCAAGTGCCATAACTCTGGCAGTAATTATCGAAAATCGGTGAAAATCAATAGGCGTCTTCGTCTCATGACCTTAAACACTGTGTATAAATTTAAAGTCAATTGGATATTAACTGTAGCCTCTAGAGCCTCCACAAGATTTTTCAAAGTGATCAAAGGCCATAACTCTGGCAGTAATTATCTGAAATCGCTGATAAATCCATAGGCTTCTTCGTCTCATGACCTTAAACACTGTGTATAATTTTAAAGTAAATCGAACATTAACTTTAGCCTCTAGAGCCTCTACAAGCAATTGTGGACGGACGGTCGGGGGCGACGACAATAAACGACCACATTTCAATGTGGGCGTATAAAAACGATGTTCTGACATCACAAACTATTCTTATTTCGAAAGTTCTGCATTCATATGCTGCCATATAAACAAAGACACGTAATTTTGAAGGAATATAACAGTTGTGATGCCGAAGCAGGATCGGCAAGCTTTCATTCAATGAATTACGAAAATGCTTAATTTTGCAGGAATGTTACTGACATAAATTTGAATGCCGTACGGGATACACCCACATTTTCGAGAGATGGATAGAGAACAAGCTAAAATGAAAGTGATTTTTCCTACAATCAAGGGCCATAATTCAGGAAATTACAATTCGATATGCGCAAATATCGAAAGGAACCAAGATCTTTGGGTTATAAACTTACATTTCAAGTTTCAATAAAATCGGATAAAAAATTGTGACCTCTATAGGGTCCACAACCTTGATATACCATATTTTTACACTATTTGAGAATGAGGGGCCCCATAGCCTCCACATAAGTGATACATGTGGCATGTGGGCGCCCTTAAAACCGACCGACTGATCAGTGCCTTTAGAGCATCATTGTGTGATCATAATCAAGTGTATTATTTTATAGTTGAAAGGTTGTCAATTTTTTTTTTCTGGAGGGGATGGGGCGGGGCCTTATTTTTCTAGGTACGGAACTGCGTTGTTGTCTTTTTTAAAAAAAAAAAACATTTAACTTGGTAGTTTTCATTATTTAGGATCTTCTGGACTCTCAAGAAAGTATAATTTTAAGAACAAGTCTTCTGGACTCTTTCTTGAAGGTAATGGGAAAAGTTTTCGTAACAGGAATTGTCTACATATGGTACTCACCATTTGGATTACATGTAACCATTCATCTACTAGTGGGATATCCTCAATATCTGCTGCTTTTAATGTCAAATCACAATCAGTTCCTGCTATATTACAATGAAGTTTTCTATTTCGATACTTTGAATCTGAAAACAAACAAATCAACAGTGAGACTGATGTCCTCTGCTGATATCCCAAATTAAATAGATGACACATACAGTACTAATAATTGCACATTTATCTTTTGGAAAAGGATAGAGCAATCAAACTGATTATGTAATCTTAGTCTAAGCAGAAAATGTTCATGATCAAACTCAGTCAGGGAAACTATATACACTAAGATTTATCACCCTCCATTGCAGTTAGAATCAAAGTTATTTTGTCCTTAAACATCAACCAATAAAATTGCTTAGCTTTAACGGAAAATCTCCTCTCATCCGAGCACCCAAAAGGCGCGATGGATGAGAAGGATTATATGAATATATATAGCCTGAGGGCTCGAGGATTTATATTGCATATTTCTCATTGATCTAAATAAATATGTATACTAACTCAACATTCAAAGTCTAAAAATAGCACAATTGCACGTACAGCACTGTGTCAACATACGCCTGACTATAAATAAGAGGTAAGGCTCGGCTCTAGTTGTCTCTTTAAAGTTTTGTTGGCAACCATATATATAGCACTGGGAGGGCTAAAGGGAGGGTATATGAATCCTTGAGCCCTCGGGCTATATATATTCATATAATTCTTCTCATAGGGCGCTCGGATGAGAGGAGATTATATTCCATTATATGCCCTTCAGGCATCTCCGATTTATATTGCATCATTGAAAGGGTTGTCAACAAAAAAGAAAACAAATAGTAGGCTGTTAAAATTTATCCATATAATTAAAAAAAATGTATTATTTCCTGTAGAACAAAAAAAACTTATCATTGTTCCATTATACTGTTTTAAGATTGTCTGAAATAGAGTATCCAGAATTAAACGATGCAGATCAGGAAGTTGAACAAGTTCAATGAGGCTTATATTCAGAAGTATCAATTCCTGCCAGTACAATGGTTTCTTAAGCCAACGGCCAATGGTAGATGGCGTTACTGCTCTGAGTGTAATACATGTATGAGATACAATAAGTTCTGAAGTTAATTCAAGATAATACTGGAGAGTATATCAGTAAACTAATCCAATTTGACCTGGTATAGAGGAGAAGATTGACAAGAAATTTTCCAAACTTTCACTTCCTCACCTTATAGCATTGCCATAATCTAGAAAGCGATTAATACTAAAAGCTCTTAATGTGGCACCTTTGGGCTGTAGCTAGAGCCAATAAGGTCACTGTTATATAAGTGAGAAGCTTCAAAGATATACCTTCTAAGGCAAAAAAACAATTTAATATAATAGAAACACTCCAGGTTGCTACAAAACAAGATTTTGGAGGATCAAGATTAAAAATACCTTCCAAAAAACAATAAATAATGGCATGGTTTCTGAACTTCCTGCTGCCTGAAACATTCAGAGTCTGAACAATTGCTGATCTGTAGGTGTTAGCAACACTATAGGAATACTAGACAACGACAAATCACTCAAATAATTTGCAATATTTTCTACAGTGGGATCCAAAGGATCAATTTGTTTCTGATCTGCCTAAAGATTCTATCGTCTCAAGGCCAGATTATACTGTTTGTTAATTCCTGGTCTCCAGGACCTGAGAATAGTGTCAATAGCATGTTGTGATAGTCCTCTATTAGTGAGGGTTTGCTTGAGACAAGCATTCATGTATAAAATTTTGCCTCCCATGGGGTAGCACATCCCATGGTGAACTAAACGCAAGAGGTCCTTCCGTAGGAGCAAATGAATGGGGTTAGAAATTAGCATTGCTAAGAGTCTAGAATACCATACCGGTATTGACCATCCTGGCACTATAATTATAGCATGGTCTCTGATTATTTTGTTGAGATACCGGTACTTGGCAACTACATTGAAACTTTCAGTGAGAAGAGGAAGATGTATTGGTGAAAATTAAATCAACTCATCTTAAATACATCATATTCAAGAGCCAAACAAAATGGATCAGACTGTCAAGATACATGTACATACTTTACAACTTGGTAAATAATCTGTGGTGTAAAAATATCTATGTCCGGTACAGATAAAAGATTACATACCCTCTGAAAAATGTGCTTAATCAACTTCAATTCTGTGAAGTCAGAAAAATGTCTAGATAATGCATCTGTTATGCTATGAGACATAATTGATCTATATTTAGCAGATAAATATTTCTAGAAGCACACCGGTACCAAATTTGTTTGCTTATTTTAAAACAATTTATCTATAGTTCCCCAATATTATAAATATATGATAATTATAGGATATAGTGTTATCACATTGAACAAGTATATGCGTATTAGATAAATTGCTGCACAATGATGTCCATCCATAGAAAACTGCCAGCAGTTCAAGATAATTTATTGATATTCTGAACTATTCCAAAGCAGTTAGATGTGAATATCATAAGGAGTGAGCACCCATACATAAAGAGAAGCATCCAAAGTAAAGACACAAGAGTGGTCTAATATGGTTACCATTTTAAATGCTAATGTTATATGTAACCACCAGTTTAACTCAAACGTCATTGAGGGAAATACCCATATGAATAATTACATTCTGTTTAACTTAAAGCTCTAGATTACTCTTTTATATAGGTAAAGGTACTAAAAGTATTGTTGTTCGTAGAAAAGGAACACAGTCCAATAAAATACTCTTTGTCTGATAGTGAGCTTGTTCGATGTTAATAAAGCTCTGGCCTTGGTTTTGACTTTATCCTTCGTTGAGTAAGAGATCAGTAAATAAATGACAATTAATAGTAAATTCTAAAAAATAATTTCTTTAGAAGGAAATCCTAGCTCTCGAAAATATCTTACAGCTTTCTGTGTGTAAAACCACATTCTTTTGCAGTGTTGATAGTGGAAAAGAAAAAATAGAATTGTCTGTAAAATATGAACAATGTATACATTGCCTGCGAAGGATTGCAAAATTTGATTTGAAAACTTTAGAAAGAACTCTTGGAGCTGAGGAAACTCTGAAACAGAGACATGTAATCTCAACCGTTTGATCTCAAATAAAATGTAAATATTATTTATGATGATCTGGACGAATATGAATAGAAAAAAGGCATCTTTTAGATCCATTAATGATAGAAAATCCTCTCTATGTATTATACTGATGGAAGCAAAGCATAAAGTTTCTTGTGTAAAATGTCCATAACTTATAAATATCTGAATTTTTCAGGTTTATAACCGGACGATAATCGTCAGTCTTTTTCCGTAACTAAAAAGATATAAGAAATAAACTGATTGGTATACCAGGGAATACCTGGACATAAAGCCTTCTTACTTAACATTAAATTAATCAACAAACTCCATCTGCTCTGAATTATACAGAGGTGGTTAGGCAAGCAAAGTTGAAAGGGTGGTTGAAGAAAACTCAAACCAGTACCCGCTAACTGTATTAAGAATCCAGTTATCTGATGTCATGATAGACCAACTGCCTAAAAAGTATTCGAATTCTGGCTGGCTACAAAAGTATTACCTACAGGTGTTACTGTAGCTGGGTTGATGCTGCCCTGAAAACGGAGGCCTGTAAAAGGATTGCTACTTAGTATAAGCAATAAACGGGCGTGAAACAACGCCACAAAAAATATATGGACCGGCACAGCGTACCGGTCGCGATCACGTAAAAAAGGAATTGAATCTACGATCCAACAAAATCGCAAAGTAATAGTATACGATATAATATGACTATGAGTAGTGCACCACTACTACTACTAGTCATGGTCTAGATCAAAAAAGAAAAAGACAACTAGAGCCGAGCCTTACCTCTTATTTATAGTCAGGCGTATGTTGACACAATGCTGCACGTGCAATTGTGCTATTTTTAGACTTTGAATGTTGAGTTAGTATTTAGATCAATGAGAAATATGCAATATAAATCAGAGATGCCCGAAGGGCATATAATGGAATATAATGTCAATCATTGAACTCCATCAAGACATTCACCTATTGAACATCTACTCCAAGTTTAAACTTTCTACTGCAATTAAAAGCAGGGTTGTTATGTTCCAAAGTCTTATCACTCTCACAAGGTAGGTCATATATTTATTCTTTTGTAGGTAATGGAAGCATTTCTAATTAAATACACTGATACCAATTCAGGGTCATATAACTTTAGAAGTAGTTAACGGAAATTGTTCAAATGCGATAGGCTTTTCCATTCTCCATTTTTATACATCAACATTATAAATGTGGACGTATATTGCCGTCGCCTGTATGTGTGTTTGTGTGTTTGTGGTTCATCTTGAAACTTTACATACTTATTCCTTATACCTTAAGGATGATCCCTATTGTTTTTGTTTTCCATTCTCCATTTTTATACATCCACATTATAGATGTGGACGTATATTGCCGTCGCCTGTATGTGTGTTTGTGGTTCATCTTGAAACTTTACATACTTATACCTTTAGGATGATCCCTATTGTTTTTGGTGCATGATTCCCCCACCATCACCTTTGGGTGGTGCCAAACCCACTTTTTGTTAATATTTTGTCTGTAAATGATATATAGATTGCAATTATTAACAGATTTGGATGCAATTCGGAATGATTCATCATAGGGTTATACCTATTTATACTGGTCCATGTCCAACCCCCAGGGGCAGAGCCATGCCCAATTTTTGTGTTTTTTTGTCTACAGGCTGGAATTCAGAATGTCTACAGACTGGAACTTGGCGTATTTATTTCTGTACGGATAGCAACTATTTATTTTGGTACATGTCCTGAACCCCATGGGCGTGGTACCACACCCACTTTTTTGTCTGTAAATACTCTAAGGTTGCTATGATTAACAGATTTTGTTCAAATTCAGCATATCAATCATTTCAATAACAAGGTGGTACCTATTTATATTGTTCCAAATCCAACCCCCAGGGGCAAAGCCATGCCCAAATTTTGTATTTATCCTCTACAGACTGCAATTCTGAAAGGATCATCTTTGCATATTTATTCCTTATACCGTTAAGCCTGCAACTATTTATTTTGGTGCATGCCCTGACCCCCTGGGGCAGTGTCGCACTCATTTTTGCGTTAATATTT